AGGACTATACCATCTGAACGATCTACATTAAACTATAAAATGAAAGTTAGCCCAATCTGTCTTCAAAATTTTGTTTTGTCTTGAAAATCACGAAGAGAAGATGTTTATATTCGGAATCCGTTTCATTTTGTTCTATCTGAAGTTGCCTGCTTGTCCTGGTCATTAACATCATATTTTATTTAGAAATCAATTGTTTTTACAGTGAGTGAATACCAAATATTTACATGAAGGACCAAATTTGTAGTTGTAGGCTGGCTACGTCACTGTCTCTATATCGTACGATGACTTTAACTATAAACATTCAAAGGCTGGCTACGTCACTGTGCTACATCGTACTATGATGACTTTTAACTATAAACATTCAAAGGCTGGCTACGTCACTGTCTTTACATCGTACGATGACTTTAACTATAAACATTCAAGGCTGGCTACGTCACTGTCTCTACATCGTACGATGACTTTTAACTATAAACATTCAAAGGATGGCTACGTCACTGTCTTTACATCGTACGATAACTTTTAACTATAAACATTCAAAGACTGGCTACGTCACTGTCTCTCTACATCGTACGATAACTTTTAACTATAAACACTCAAAGGCTGGCTACGTCACTGTCTTTATATCGTACGATGACTTTTAACTATAAACATTCTAAGGCTGGCTACGTCACTGTCTCACATCGTACGATGACTTTTACCTATAAACACTCAAAGGCTGGCTACGTCACTGTCTTTACATCGTACGATGACTTTTAACTATAAACATTCAAAGGCTGGCTACGTCACTGTTTCTACATCGTACTATGACTTTTAACTATAAACATTCAAAGGCTGGCTACGTCACTGTCTTTACATCGTACTAAGACTTTTAACTATAAACATTCAAAGGCTGGCTACGTCACTGTTTCTACATCGTACTATGACTTTTAACTATAAACATTCAAAGGCTGGCTACGTCACTGTCTTTACATCGTACTAAGACTTTTAACTATAAACATTCAAGGCTGGCTACGTCACTGTTTCTACATCGTACTATGACTTTTAACTATAAACATTCAAAGGCTGGCTACGTCACTGTCTTTACATCGTACGATGTTTTAACTATAAACATTCAAAGGCTGGCTACGTCACTGTTTCTACATCGTACTATGACTTTTAACTATAAACATTCAAAGGCTGGCTACGTCACTGTCTTTACATCGTACTAAGACTTTTAACTATAAACATTCAAAGGCTGGCTACGTCACTGTTTCTACATCGTACTATGACTTTTAACTATAAACATTCAAAGGCTGGCTACGTCACTGTCTTTACATCGTACTAAGACTTTTAACTATAAACATTCAAAGGCTGGCTACGTCACTGTTTCTACATCGTACTATGACTTTTAACTATAAACATTCAAAGGCTGGCTACGTCACTGTCTTTACATCGTACGATGACTTTTAACCATAAACATTCATACCTTTTAATGAATGACAAGCGTCTCTACTCAGGTCGGTTATCAAAGAGTTCTCAATCTAGATGACGAAAGCAAAATGTACGTGACGACTATCGCGATGAAGCCTACAATATTTGGTAAGTTTGTTACAACCTCATATATGAGGCGCCGTTCGTTGCAAAAATCAAAAATGTTATTCTCATGTATTGAATTGCTCTCATCATACATTGAATTCGTTATCCACATGATTCATAGACTGAAATCCTTTCATTCCATATTAAAAAGCCATAGACTTTTGATTTTCTAAATTTTCACTTTGTTTTGTAAAATCTCACTTTGTTTTTGTATAAATTTCACTTTGTGTGTCTCTATATCGTTGATGACTTTTAACTATAAACATTCAAAGGCTGGCTACGTCACTGTTTCTACATCGTTACTATGACTTTTAACTATAAACATTCAAAGGCTTGCTACGTCACTGTCTTTACATCGTACGATGACTTTTAACTATAAACATTCAAAGGCTGGCTTCGTCACTGTTTCACATCGTACTATGACTTTTAACTATAAACATTCAAAGTCTGGCTACGTCACTGTCTTTACATCGTACGATGACTTTTAACTATAAACATTCAAAGGCTGGCTACGTCACTGTCTTTACATCGTACGATGACTTTTAACTATAAACATTCAAAGGCTGGCTACGTCACTGTCTTTACATCGTACGATGACTTTTAACTATAAACATTCAAAGGCTGGCTACGTCACTGTTTTACATCGTACTATGACTTTTAACTATAAACATTCAAAGGCTGGCTACATTTTCATCTTTACATCGTACGATGACTTTTAACTATAAACATTCAAAAGGCTAGTCATATTCATTCTACATCGTACGATGACTTTTAACTATAAACATTCAAAGGCTGGCTACGTCACTGTCTTTACATCGTACGATGACTTTTAACTATAAACATTCAAAGGCTGGCTACGTCACTGTCTTTACATCGTACGATGACTTTTAACTATAAACATTCAAAGGCTGGCTACGACACTCTCTTTACATCGTACTATGACTTTTAACTATAAACATTCATACCTTTAATGAATGACAAGCGTCTCTACTCAGGTCGGTTATCAAAGACTTCTCAATCTAGATGACGAAAGCAAAATGTACCACGTGACGACTATCGCGATGAAGCCTACAATATTTGGTAAGTTTGTGCAACTCTATATGAGGCGCCGTTCGTTGCAAAATCAAAATGTTATTCTCATGTATTGAATTGCTCTCATCATACATTGAATTCGTTATCCACATGATTCATAGACTGAAATCCTTTCATTCCATATTAAAAAGCCATAGACTTTTGATTTTGCTAAATTTTCACTTTGTTTTTGTAAAAATCTCACTTTGTTTTTGTATAAATTTCACTTTGTGTGTCTCTATATCATACGATGACTTTTAACTATAAACATTCAAAGGCTGGCTACGTCACTGTCTCTACATCGTACGATGACTTTTACCTATAAACACTCAAAGGCTGGCTACGTCACTGTTTCTACATCGTACTATTACTTTTAACTATAAACATTCAAAGGCTGGCTACGTCACTGTCTTTTACATCGTACGATGACTTTTAACTATAAACATTCAAAGGCTGGCTACGTCACTGTTTCTACATCGTACTATGACTTTTAACTATAAACATTCAAAGGCTGGCTACGTCACTGTCTTTACATCGGATGACTTTTAACTATAAACATTCAAAGGCTGGCTACGTCACTGTTTCTACATCGTACTATGACTTTTAACTATAAACATTCAAAGGCTGGCCACGTCACTGTCTTTATATCGTACAATGACTTTTAACTATAAACATTCAAAGGCTGGCCACGTCACTGTCTTTATATCGTACGATGACTTTTAACTATAAACATTCAAAGGCTGGCTTCGTCACTGTCTTTACATCGTACGATGACTTTTAACTATAAACATTCAAAGGCTGGCTACGTCACTGTCTTTACATCGTACTATGACTTTAACTATAAACATTCAAAGGCTGGCTACGTCACTGTCTTTTACATCGTACGATGACTTTTAACTATAAACATTCAAAGGCTGGCTACGTCACTGTCTTTACATCGTACGATGACTTTTAACTATAAACATTCAAAGGCTGGCCACGTCACTGTCTTTACATCGTACTAACTATAAACATTCAAAGGCTGGCTACGTCACTGTCTTTACATCGTACGATGACTTTTAACTATAAACATTCAAAGACTGGCTACGTCACTGTCTTTACATCGTACTATGACTTTTAACTATAAACATTCAAAGGCTGGCTACGTCACTGTCTTTGTCGTACGATGACTTTTAACTATAAACATTCAAAGACTGGCTACGTCACTGTCTTTACATCGTACGATGACTTTTAACTATAAACATTCAAAGACTGGCTACGTCACTCTCTTTACATCGTACTATGACTTTTAACTATAAACATTCAAAGACTGGCTACGTCACTCTCTTTACATCGTACTATGACTTTTAACTATAAACATTCAAAGGCTGGCTACGTCACTGTTTTCTACATCGTACTATGACTTTTAACTATAAACATTCAAAGGCTGGCTACGTCACTGTCTTTACATCGTACGATGACTTTTAACTATAAACATTCAAAGGCTGGCTACGTCACTGTCTTTACATCGTACTATGACTTTTAACTATAAACATTCAAAGGCTGGCTACGTCACTGTCTTTACATCGTACGATGACTTTTAATCTATAAACATTCAAAGACTGGCTACGTCACTCTCTTTACATCGTACTATGACTTTTAACTATAAACATTCAAAGGCTGGCTACGTCACTCTTTACATCGTACTGACTTTTAACTATAAACATTCAAAGGCTGGCTACGTCACTCTTTACATCGTACTATGACTTTTAACTATAAACATTCAAAGGCTGGCTACGTCACTCTCTTTACATCGTACGATGACTTTTAACTATAAACATTCAAAGGCTGGCTACGTCACTGTCTTTACATCGTACGATGACTTTTAACTATAAACATTCAAGGCTGGCTACGTCACTGTCTTTACATCGTACGATGACTTTTAACTATAAACATTCAAAGACTGGCTACGTCACTCTCTTTACATCGTACTATGACTTTAACTATAAACATTCAAAGGCTGGCTACGTCACTCTCTTTACATCGTACGATGACTTTCTAAAACATTCAAAGGCTGGCTACGTCACTGTCTTTACATCGTACTATGACTTTGCTATAAACATTCAAAGGCTGGCTACGTCACTGTCTTTACATCGTACTATGAGTTTTAACTATAAACATTCAAAGGCTGGCTACGTCACTGTACCACTGTACCACTGTACCGTACATGTCTACTGGTACCGTACATAGGTACATGTTCTGTAGAAAATTGTTGCATGTTCCGTAGAAAATTAAAAACATTGCGCGCGCATATACTTTATATTCTAAGATACATGAAGTTTAATGTCATTTGATCAAACATGGCGACTTGTCGACTGTGCAATGTAAACATTTTTATGCCATGCAACTTCTGTCCTTATTGCGGCTGTAGAGTTACAGGTATGATGACGATTGATTGTATAATTTGAAAGAAAATATCACTCAGACAATTTCTCTATTCTTTTGTAGCAAAGGAATTTTATATGTATTTTGTATATGTATAATGTATTGCCAAAATTGTGGTACTAAAATATTACAAGGGGGAAGTTTTTGTCATAATTGTGGCCATTCGGTTGCAAAAAAAGGTAATTCAAGATAATATTTAATTCAAAATGCTTATTTTGTAAATTAATTGAAAATATTTTATAAAACTATTAATTGATATCCCAGTCTCTGTAAATTAAAATGAATAGACTTTGGAATAAAGAATTTTTCAACTTTATAAAAAAGATTAAAGAATAAGAAATGAATTCATGTAAAATTAACTCTTTTATTAACGTTATATTCCCTTGTGCAGTGTAATAACATTATCCAGTCTTATAACAACTCTGGCACATCTAACAATCAAAGCCCTCCAGCAAGTGGCTCAACTTCCATCATTTTTAATGACAGTATGCCTCGTGACTTACGTCCTATGACCCTTCATGAATTTCGAAAACAAAAAGAACAAGATAGATGCTCTAAATTCTCAATTTCTAAAACAAAAAAGAGGAGCATTTCAACAGCAAATAAAAAAGCTAGGTTAGCACAAGAAGTGAAAGTGCAAGTTGGTGTGGTTAGAGAAAGTGTTGAAGATGGTAGATTGAAAAAAATCAAAGGAAGAACTAGTCCTGTATTATTTAATGAAGACGACAATGCCAAGGTATTGCTCGAAAAGGCAGTTGAGAAGCATGCAAGGCACTTTAAACAATTTGACAGAGATGATACTTATGTTATTCTCTATCAAGATATGACTCTTGTTAAAGATTTACCAGGTAGTAACACACCTTTCACCCTTGGAGAATACAAACGAGACCTACTAAAACCTTATTGTAAAATTTACTTCTGGTTATGTCCGGAAGATGATTTTGAACATTGTTCTTGTTACAATGAAGACAATCATTCAGACGAAGAGCTTTTGTTTGTTCCATTTAATTGTAATGTTGACAATAGCAACTTAGGAACTCAAGAGTTACCATCACCAAAACATGCAACTACTTCGGAGTCAACAACGTCTTTGACAGCACCAAACATCCCATGTTCATCTCAACCTAAATTGTCATTGCAACAGACGTCAGGCAGCATTGAAAAATACTTGGTCACAACTCACCAGTGTCCAACATGTTTGATGCATTTTCCTCGCAATGAAATTGAAGTTCATGCCGATCTTTGTGCTGAGACATATATAGATACTGTTGGTGAATGTGAATCTGATGACCAAGACTGTGAAATTCAGATTGTGGAGGGAAACTTATTCAGTGAAAAAGCTAAAAGTGTGACTGATAAGTTGGAAACTGTGCAACAAGTTGTTGAAGATTTAAAGAGCAATTTAAAGATGACATTAGTCAACAGAATAACTATTCGAAGGCGTTATGCATTTAAAGACTATATGGATGCACGACTGAAGAAGTATTTTAAGTCAGAAGGTATTCTGAAAGTGTCATTTGCCGGAGAACCAGCCATAGATACAGGTGGCCCAAGACGTGAATTTTTTACAGGTAAGATTAACTAAATGTTAAGTAAATAACAGTAACAGTTTTGAAATAGTATACAAGTGTTTTAATGTCTAAAGATATTGAATAAATAGGTACAACACTTGCAATGATAGAAAATTAATTTATTGGAGTATTGTAATAACATTTTTTTGCACAGAATGCCTCAACTATATACAGAGGAAGCTGTTCAACGAAACAGGATTTCCAGTAGTGAATGTACAAGCCTTGGCCAATGAAGAATTCAAAGTTGCAGGAGAAATTATTGCTGCGTCAATTGTTCAAGGAGGACCAGCTCCCTGTTTGTTTTCTTCACAAGTGTACAATTACATAGTGCATGGAATATCGTACATGCACACAACTGGTGTGAACAGTTAAAGGATGACACAATTAAAATAACTGTTGAAAAGGTAATCTTTGAAAATTGCTTATAACCTGCATCTCGTTTGTGTATTAAAGTGAATATTTCTGAATAAGAAATTTTCAGATCAAGTCGTGCAGATGATGATTGGTTGCATTTCTGGAAGAAGACTTGACGATGAATGTTTTGCAAGTAATTGGTTATTGTGGTATTCCATCTAAGGAGTCAAGAGAAACAAGCGACAAGATAATTAGGTAAATTCCATAATGTAAAGATGGCAGCTAGGCAAATTAATATTTTTTATTTCATATTTCAGGTCTCTTGATAAGTGTGTGTCAAAACTCTAGCCATTATTGACCAATTAATATCTGGTCTTGTGGGGTTTTGACTGAGTTAACAAAACAGAAATGTTATGGAACCATTATTTACCATTAATGGAGCACAAAAGTTTTCAGTGACAGCTGATCATATTCTAGATCACATTTTGATAGAATGCAGTCCTGAAGGGAGCAACCAAAAGTTATTAGAAATCATTATTCACAAGTTTTTTTGTGATTATATTCAAGCTCTTGAAGCTAAAACAGGTATACATAGTGATTAATGAGCATTGCATGGACCAGGGAACATACCAGGGAGGATATTGATTGCTAAAGCTGCTGAAGTTTGTTGCAAGTAGTGGATATAAAATGTAATTTTTCAGTAATGTAATCAAGGCATTTATATATTTTGCAATCTTGAGATGCTCTTATTGTTCCAATAGTTCTTTAAGTCTGGAAAATTTTCCTGAATAATTTTAAAGGAGTTGATTGATTCACTTATCCAATGATTTGCTTCATTCTACTTTTTGTATTGTTTTTCAAGGAGCTACAAATTCTTTGTCTGCATTGTACAAATTTATAACTGGATTTGAAACAGTGACCCCACTTGGCATGGAAAAAACCATCACTGTGAAATTCAAGCATGGATGCAAAGCTGGTTGTAGATGCAGACCAACAGCCTCTACCTGTGCTACAAGCTTAACACTCCCAGTTCATATTGATGATTTAAAGCAATTTGAAGATTTAATGGATGCTACACTTGCAGAAAGTTCTGGTTTTGCTTCATTTAAAGAATACAGTATCAATTATATATTTCAAGGACATTTCTCTCTTAAAACGTTTTTAATGTTAAGACAACTTAAAATTTTTGTTAGATAACACAAACATTATTTTGCATTAGCAGTGCAAATAATTCTGATGCTTCCTGATAGTTTTCAGGATATTGTAATCTTTGCAACTCAACCAAGTAATGGAAATAATCTTGAAAAGTATTATCATACAACAATTCATTATGGCAGCATTGCATCTCAGCTATTTGCAATTTCTCTTCAGTAACTCACTTGGCAATCAAAAGCCCCATACTCCTCGGGCATTGCATATAAAACATTTGGAACTCCAGCAACAGTTTCATGGCGAGATTGCCGAATATAGTGAGTATTCCAATAAACCTGACAATCATTAAATGAATTTTGCAAGACACCATTAAAACAAAACCACAAACATTCTTTAGTGAAATCATCATTTAAATTTAACTGTTTTTCCTCACAAAGATCTTTGAAAAATTGAACCCACCAACTTGAACATGTTTTTCTAAAATGTGACCACCAATTCTCAATTCTTTGGTTTGATGGAGATGTACCAAATGCATGAGCTTGACTACCACAAAATGGTGCATTGTCAAGTGATCGAAAGTAGCATTGAGCTGCTGCAATGATCCCATTCTCTGTTCCACAGTCACTACGAGTCTGCAAAGGACATGCCTTATTTTTTCTTACTGCCTCAAAATAAAATTTAGCCACACTCTCTGGTAAATTATTTGACCGTGTAACTTCTAACCAAAGAACTTTCCTGCTGAAACCATCTATTGCACCATGCACAGGGAATCCAAATGGCTTCAGCTTATCATATCCTACATGTGGAAATAAAAAGTAGATAACAATGAACGCAATGATGATAACAGATAGAAAGTTAATGAAAACCGAAACGATAAAAATTGTTACTTACCATCAATGTGCCAGCACTGATTAGGTCCATATGATAAATAGTTACGCCTTTTTAGTTTTTTTTGCTTTCTCAAAGCACATGCCTCTGGATCTAGTTCCTTTAAAATACATTCCACCAGTTTTCGGGGTACATGTATGTGATGCTTTAATTTAAGTATGTGCCACATCTTCCGATAACCAGCCAAGCATCCAGGACCTTGCATCTCATTCCAAATAATTTCGCGCACAAGGTCCTCCGGAACTGTTTGCCTTCTGGTTAAATTGTAAGATTTAAGTCTGCGCTTTAGAGTCCGTAAATCCATTTCAATACCATTCTCATTCTTTAGTAGGCTAATTATGATATTATATTTATATCCATAATTAAAATAGTTCTCTATAATGTCTCTTTCGGCTACAAAAGAATAGAGAAATTGTCTGAGTGGTATTTTCTTTCAAATTATACAATCAATCGTCATCATACCTGTAACTCTACAGCCGCAATAAGGACAGAAGTTGCATGGCATAAAATGTTTACATTGCACAGTCGACAAGCCGCCATGTTTGATCAAACGTTAAACTTATGTATCTTAGAATATAAAGTATATGCGCGCGCAATGTTTTAATTTTCTACGGAACATGCAACAATTTTCTACAGAACATGTAACATTTTCTACGGAACATGTAACATTTTTTCTGGAACATGCAACAATTTTTCTGGAACATGCAACAATTTTCTACGGAACATTCAACAATTTTCTACGGAACATGCAACAATTTTCTACGGAACATGTAATATTTTTCTACGGAACGACTACTTTTTGTAAGGCAAACTGTCTTTTATTATTGAATCAATTAATTTACAAAATGAAAGCACGATTTTCTATAGAATGAACGTGTCCCTAATGGAGCCACCGTACCTATGTCTTGTTTGCGTCCATCCATGCTTTCAGGAACAGAAAAGAGGTTCAACCAATGTTGGTTTTGTTGAGGTTGTTGACTAGAATTTTGTAACATATTTTGGATATTCAACCCAGGAGAATTTGAAACGTTTGTGGTTTGCATGCTGAAGCAGATTGTCAATATCGATCGTGACTAAAACACCGCACGAGTACATACGAGTACATACGAGTAACAAACGAGTACATACGAGTGACATACGAGTACATACGAGTAACATACAAGTACATACGAGTAACATACGAGTACATACGAGTACATACGAGTAACAAACAATGATCTAGTACCAATGATCTTGGGTATAAGTCATTGGTAACAAACAAGTAACATACGAGTACATACAGTACATACGAGTACATACGAGTAACAAACGAGTACATACGAGTGACATACAGTACATACAGTAACATACAAATTACATACGAGTAACATACGAGTACATACGAGTGACATACGACTATTTTCTGGTCAACAAATGAGAAACAACACAATTTCTTCAATACATTGATATTTGCGTTTATTTTTCCTTGTATTTGTGTGGACTTTGAACTATTTGATGGATTAAATGCTGAAAAGGTATTTTACTTTCATACTACATTCATTTGTATGTTTCAGTTGAATTTGTTATACATATTTGTCGATGTGTTTGAGTATTTGTTGCTTTTGACACTCAAATAATAGCGAGGAGCTGTTTGAGCGCTTTTGAAAATTAGTTTCTGTGTCCCTATTATGATCCAGGTAAGGGCTTATTTATTCACAGCTCGAGAACGTAAAATGTAAAATGTAAAATGTAAAATGTTTTAACTTTTTGGTAGGAAGCTGTTATACATTCTTTTATTTTACCAGATGTGTAAAACTACATTTCTACAGGTTTTGACTGTTGATGAAAGCGCAGGAATGTCAATTATCGATGTTGGTGTTCTCACTGGATTTAGTGTGAAGCAAGATAGCCTGATCGAAGTAAATATATTTCTTTTGTGTTTAAGAATTCGGTTTTTAGGAACTACACAAATCAGTTGCACGAGAATGAAAATGTGGTCTTAATTTCATGGATAGTTCAATTTTATCTGTAGCTTGGCGACCATTAAAATATTTTCAAACAAACAGAAAAATAAAAAACAGTATCCAGATTTCGTGCAATTGAAGTGTTTGTATCGAGCTAGTACTTATAATTGGAGTATCTTCTTTTCTTCTATATCTTTAGAGAAAATATGTATGAAGTTCTACGGTCCTAAAGTTGACAGTCGTCTTCATGACTTCATTTAAGTAATTTTCGTCTCATCAACAACGTTTATTTAACTTTACATATTCCTGTATTTTGTTTAGGCGTCGCGATGTCACACAAAGAAAGTTAACGACTTACAACAAGAAGAAGTGGATTTACAGAAACCTTTATTCACATTAAATACATTCAATACAAACCAGGTGAGACTTTGCTCACTGACATCATAAGTTATACAATTTTGTTTTAATATGCGTGTTGTTGCGTATAAGAAATGAAATGTTTGTCTTGTTTCAGATTATTTCGATCCTCGCCATAAGTAGAACTTGCGTTGCGTCAGGCTGGCCTCCACAACTCCGATTATGCAAGACAAGTCATGGCAAATGTTAAACCACTTCATTCATCAAGACCTGATCAACATTCAACAGTTTTTGAGTAGTAAACATTTAGCAGATCAATTAAATTTTTTAGAGTTTTGAAAATATTTTATGTATCTAAGGATGCTGGATTTCAATGATCATCATTTATTTAATCCCAACATGCCACCCTGCTGAAATATAATTTTCTAAAAATGAATACTTACATTGCATGGGCGTGGAAAAGTGGCTTTCTGACTTCAAGCAAATTATATGTTCCATTTAACATGATTGCAATCGTTCGAGATAGTCGCTATTAAAGCATTAAACTGGATTTACTCTGAGCATCTCCTTCTATCTCGGTATCGACCCTTTCACGTCGTTCTCCGTCAGTATTGTACTTTTTACGGAGGGAGCGCAGTTAGGGGCGCAGTGCCTATTCCTGTAGGGGCGCAGCGCTCATTTAGTTCAGCAACTTTAGTTTAAGACCTAAAGGCCCTGGATTGTTGGGGGCGCCCCATCGGTCAAGGCCAAGCAGTCCCAAATTTAGCATATGTCATAATTTATTGAAAACATACATCAATGAAAATCAATGCAAAATGCAAAAATCAATAAACATTGGCACCAAAAATTTGCATAGCATTACCAAAATGCTGGCTACGATTGTCGCCGTAGTGATGTTATTGTTATTCTACGAACGATGAAGAATAAATACAGATTCAATTACATATGTCGACATTTTCATAAAGCAAATTCATATATTAGAAAGAAGTACAAAATACACGCAACGTGGAGATGCTGGAAAGAGTATTCAGCAATTTTAGACCAACTGCAGTGGCGATTCATAACCATCCTAGAGTGATGATCCTCACAGTGGCGTAGCTAGGAAAAATAGTCACTCTCGCCAATCCATCTCGCGCCGGAGCTATTATAGGGGGTCGGGGCATGGTTCCCCGGAAAATTTTAAATCCAGAGCCTTGGAAACAGCATTTCCTGCGATTTCGAGGCGAATTATTTGTTGTCCACAATAATTTATAAAACCCATTTTTGTTAGCTGCATCTTAATGTGGCAATCGTTGAAACTGCAACTAGTTAAAAGGTACTAAGGTTGCTCAGAGAAACGTTACGGAGACAATTGTCCCCTAAAACATAATTTACTCATCACTGCCCTCATAAACAGAAGAAATTTGTATTAGCACAAAAATAATATAGTATACGACACTTCTAAAGTGCATAGAGAGAGATTTTTCTTAGCATTAGCGTGTTGTTTTAAACTTGTTTAGATTGGGGCAAGTAGACAGGGATAGCTTTATTCTTTAAAGTTATGCTTAATTTTCTCAATGAAGTACCATGTATTATACGAACAAATATCAAAACACATACTATACTCATCATTTATAAAGAAAGGCCAGCCTCCTGGGTTTTTCTACAAATTTTCAACCACCTCGTTATGCAACACCTCTGATTCCTCTTTCTTTTCAATGATATCTTTGTGAATAGATATTCTACACAAAGAGCTAAGCCGACCTTGACCCATTCTATTTCTTAAATAGCTTTTACCCTTTTAAGCAAGAAAACGACCTCTCTACTGAAGCACTTGCCACTGCCAACACACCATTCAATTTTAACAAATTTACCACTTGACCTAAACTCGACTGGAGATTAAATTTGAAGATGTATTTAAGAACCTCATTACTGCACTCTTTGTGAAAGTCCTTGTCGTTGTAAATGAAGGAAAGTTGACTCTCCAAAGTTTGGATGTCAAAAAGAGGACTATACTTATGTTTAAGAAGATTGATCTTCTCCTGTCGAACAATGCCCTTCCATGTAGTAAATAGTTTAGGATTTACAAGGTCTAAAAACTCGAACTGATTAATACCTTGACATGCCTTTAATGGAATCAATAATCTCAAAATAAAGCTGTTTGTAATTGTATCTACTATCTGCTCTGGTTGCAAATAACAAATCTTGAGATTTTGCTGTATTACGATTACGAACCACCTAATAAAAGCGTAAATATGAACGAATAAAACATAATATTACAAATTGCTCGTGAAATAATGTATATCTTATGTCCAAATAGAATATTTATTATTTTTTTGGGAAATTTCTACTCCCGCCGGGCGGGAGTAGCGGGACCGCTAGCTACGCCACTGATCCTCACAAATTTGGCCATCGAACTTAGCATGTGTTTATCGAAGATAATACTTTAGTTCTGCAATTTTGCTTACGAAAAGTAGCTTCGTAGGCATAAGCATCAAATCTGTTCCCTTGTTACTTCAATCAGGGGCGGATCCAGCTTCTGGGCTGACAGTAGCCCTGTGCCGTAGCGAGCGCCTTCGGCGCGAGCCAACGGTAGGGGGGTCTGGGGGCATGCTCCCCCAGAAAATTTTGAAATCTAGACTCTCGGAAAAGCGAATTCCGGCATTTTTAATGTAGAAAATAACAATATTTTAGTCATAATCTCATCTAAAAAAATTTCTAATATCGCCATTTTTTTAATTCTGTTCGGATAGAAGAATAAAAATTTTACTTACCTTGTGGTGTCTGATGTAAAATCAACGCAGTTTCCGTACCTTTCTATAATCACAGGATTGTTGCCGCAGGAGTGAGAGAAAGATGAAGCATGTTATTTTTGCAGTGAATAACCAAAAGACAGTTCACTGCAAAAAAATAATTTCCCATTTTTGCTGCCCCATCAAATGCTCTTTTTCGAAAAGCAACAAGGATGCCTTTTGTAACAGCCATAAAGATGGCAAGACTAATAAAAGCAATGCTCAAAGGTTGTCTTCTTCCAACAACAGCAAAGATGTTTATCTAACAATGGTAAAGATGGTAAGATTAATAAAAGCAATGTTCAAAGGTGATCTTCTTCCAACAACAGCAAAGATGTTTATCCAACAATGGTAAAGATGGCAAGATTAATAAAAGCAATGTTCAAAGGTTATCTTCTTCCAACAACAGCAAAGATGTTTATCCAACAATGGTAAAGATGGCAAGATTAATAAAAGCAATGTTCAAAGGTTATCTTCTTCCAACAACAGCAAAGATGTTTATCCAACAATGGTAAAGATGGCAAGATTAATAAAAGCAATGTTCAAAGGTGATCTTCTTCCAACAACAGCAAAGATGTTTATCCAACAATGGTAAAGATGGCAAGATTAATAAAAGCAATGTTCAAAGGTGGTCCTCTAAAAACAAAGTAACAAAATGATTCTTGGTGGATGGGATTTTTCGATCTACCAAATAAGAAGGTGGCATCGCAGCACAACGAAAGATATGGACATAGTCAATTGCACTCCCATCAACAAAATCTCTTGGATATATTGTACAATTGAACATTTTAGCCAACGAATCCCAATTTCCTTTCACTTCAGCATCATTAGTAATTGGGTAGTATGACTGAATAGCACACTGGATTACTGTGGACAAAGCAAACATACACATCAAGGTTGAAAAGGTGTAGTTATTCGCTGTTTCCACTGCTTCTTGTAAAACTGCTGCAATTTCATTCGCATTTTCTAAAGAGGTTAGAGGCTTGATCATTTGAAATTTATTGTTGATCATTTGAAATTTGAAACCTTGATTTGTAAAACAAAGAGGGAATTTATGTTTCAGTACCTGGAGCTTTGATTGTACATAATGACTTGTTGGTATTGTCCATGCCTGGTATTCTTGGTTCTGAGAAATGTTAAAATGTTATCACTAGTGATGCACCATTATACATATTTTAACGATATACCAATTAGCAGATATTAAAATGCCGATATTGTGCCGATACCGATATTTTTCGCCATTTTACGAAACTTAAGCATTATAAAGTTTGCCAATTTGTGCTCACCATTGACTGTTCATTTCATAAAAAAATATAAAATTCAAAGCGGTTATTTACACTGCAGCCATATTTCACAACACAACCCAATTGTCAATGGAAATTGACATCATGTGGAACTAAAAAGTTTAAAGTAGTATTAATTTAACAAAAATTGTTAAGGTAATATATATTTAGTATTGTTAACAGTGCTGCCACCACTCGTAGGGGAAATCCTCTACAGTAGCGGGATTTAGTGGTTTGTAGGTGGTAGGGGAAGCCTACGGGGAAAACTTTAAATTGTAAGGGTATTGTAGGGAGAAAAAAAATCATTTAAAAATGAGCCTCATTTTTGCCCAAAATACTCTTTTCTTCCTGTGTTCTCACCATTTAGCAAGTGATTGTAACAGAATCTTTCTTCTGGCATAATTGAAATCAATATTGAAATTAAATGAAACGTGAAAGCCAGAAAGACGCAGATGACGATTAAATATCGTGGCCAGAGATTTGCTAGGAGGAAAGCGCATTTTCATAATGAACATAATAGCCCAACATAAGACTTTTAAAAAAGCCATCACGGCAATAAATCAGAAATAAAGATAAAAGGTTTTTTAATAATTACTTTTCGTCTTTAACTTAAGAAATCTTGAGATTAAATGGTATAAATTTTTACTTGAGGCTTTACATAAGCATATATTTACAGGGTAGTAAACAGGGATATACCGGGCGGGAAGCGAATTCTTAATATAAATATTAAAGTCCAGCAAAGTGCTTTTAAAAGAGCCATTCAATACAAAAATAACGTATAAAAAAGAAATATTTATTTAGAAGCGTAAAGTTTTGTCTTGACTCTCAAGACATCACCAGACATGAAATTACAAGTAATTAGGGATTTATATAAAATAGTTATTTATATAATATTAAATTACATGGTGGGATGAAAAACGTGACCCCCAATAGCAAAGCCAGCACGTTTTTCACTGCTACAATGTAAATATTTTTGTGTTCAATCACTGGAAGACAATAAAATGAACCAATTTTGTAAAGACATCGAAAATTTAAATTGTGGGAGTAAAAGATCGGGCTAATTTCGTCACTGATTACCTCCATCATAATTTCTCTAAGGATTGCATTTTTTCATGATGGCAGTCCTTCACAAGATTAGAAGGGCGAAGGCCTCCTTGTCAGCCTTACTCTCAATCAATCCTTTGTAAATCCCTTGCCACAGTATTCATATCATAAATGTTTCTTACAAACATGGATCTTACCGTGCTGTTTCAAGTTATTCTTCTTATTAAATCTTTTACCACAATGTTGACATTGATAAGGTTTCTCTCCTGTATGTATCCTAAGGTGTTGATTCAAATTACAATTCTGTGAAAATGTTTTACCACAATGTTGACATTGATAAGGTTTCTCTCCTGTATGTATCCTGAGGTGTTTTTTCAAATCACAATTCTGTGAAAATGTTTTACCACAATGTTCACATTGATAAGGTTTCTCTCCTGTATGTATCCTAATGTGTTTATTCAAATGACAATTCTGTGAAAATGTTTTACCACAATGTTGACATTGACAAGGTTTCTCTCCTGTATGTATCCTAAGGTGTTGATTCAAATGACAATTCTGTGAAAATGTTTTACCACAATGTTGACATTGATAAGGTTTCTCTCCTGTATGTATAATACCATGACGTTTTAAGTGACCAAGCTGTGTAAATCTTTTACCACAATGTTCACATTTGTAAGGCTTCTCTCCAGTTTGAACACTCACATGTCGTTTTAATCGTGGATTTTTTCCGCATTCATTTTTCATGTGAGCATTTAGATAGTCTTCACTACTGTACTTTCGACCACAACGTGGACATTCCCAGGGATTCGTACAAACAAGCATTGGACATCGTTTTAAATGTTTCTCTAAATAGTCGGGATAGGTATACATCCTTCCACAGTGTCTACAGCTGTAACCTCCAACTAAAAAGAAAAGTTAGAATTAGATCACAAGATAAAGAACTGAATGATTATACATAACTAAGGCACTTCGCATACGTAAACTGACTAACCTTCAAACTGATGATTGTCATTATCTTCCTCATCAAACAACGATATTCCCAACTGTTCAGCATACTCATCTCCATACCAAACAAGGAATTCTTTATCGGCTTCAATCTCTTTATAAACTCGGTAGTAAATTTCTCCATTATATTGATATGCAATTATATTTTGTTCTTCTTCAAATCTTGCACAATTCACAAATCTCATCCAATTACCTTGAGCAAGGTCCTTACCATCAATGCAATATACAACCTTTCCTCCTTGTACAATCTGTAAACACGGACAGATAAATAATTATGACAAAGCATGTATGTTTAATATCTGCATGGTGAAAGTAGAACGGGCAGAAAATATTTTAATAAAAAGAAATTACTCATTTATTTAAATATGTTCACCTCCCACATATACGAAGGATCTCTTCCATCCTCTGCGTCTTTAAGCGAAAGTACCTCTCCTCTGTATGGTCCAAAACGAGTGTTCATTTTAACTTTTTTCTTTGTAAAAACACCCCTGCCGGCGTTGGGGATTGTAGCGGTTTTTATGTACAAATCTTTTGGAAGTGTCTTCATAGCATTTGATGTTCCCTTCCATTGATGTACTTCAAAGAAATGAAATTTGTTCGAAAAAAGTTCTCCATCGTTAAAACAACTGCATTGTTCACAATTTTAAAGCAAACATCAAATCACAGTAATGAAATGATATTTAAATATTCATGACTGTACACTAACAAAAGTAAAGTACTTACAAATGTTAAGATCATCGTCAGGTACATCTTCCTTTGTATAAATCTTTATGGATGACTTTCTTAATGATCGTCTTAAAGAAGTCTTTTTCAGAGCTTTGCAGTTATATTTGATGGACTTTCTTTTAATGATGGATTTAGTTTTTTTGTCATTTACATCGTTGACCTTGGGTTTTGATGTTGACGAATTACCGATTGTTTTAGAAGAAACCTGTAAAAACGTTTGATTGAAATTTATCCAAAAAATGTGAAAATATTTACTTAGAGCTCATCCTTTCCTTTTATCCATTTTCTAAAACATACCTGTTTGTTTTCAAATTTCTTCATGACTTCAGTTTTTAATGTTGTTTTAAAAACTATAAATTAAAGTTAACTATAATTATTATGTCCTAATAATTATAATATAAATAAGAGCTTGCAAGCGTTGGTTCGGCATTCGGAAAAGTTAGAAGTCGTATCGCAGGAGGCGATAGCGTTTGAATAAGTTTCAAGTTTAAGATTGACCGTAATCTCAACGTTTCAATAACAAATTTGTGTCGCAAAGAACCAACGTTTGGAACTCCGTATCACAAATCGTGCACAAACCACTGTAAATATCTTATCAAGTGTTAAATACAATTGTCAAAATACAGTCCCATCGTTCGAGTGAAGTCTCGAGAGCAGTGAACCAGCACTTCGTACAGGTTGTGCTAAAGTATACATAAGATTTGTACTTTTCAAAAATTTATGCGGGCAGGAAATTTAGACAAAAAAGTAGTTGCTAATTTAGATTATAAGTAACTATGCAAACTGGGCTTTAAAATGGTACTATGACGAAAATTTTGCCTCTCGTTTTTTTTTCATAGATTAATAGTGTATGTAAAAAAATCTCTTCTGGCGAAATTTTAGCGCAATGTATTTCATGCTGCTCGAGTTACGTAGCGATAAAACTTGAACTTTAAGAGCCGCCATTAAAATGCGCCATATTTGAATTTTCAAGAAGGAAGGTGCTTGTGACGTCATAGTCTTAACTCGCGGCTGTTTACAATATAACACTATATACGAATAGAGATTTAAAAGGTTGTATAACTCAATTTTTTTAACATGCCTTCAACACGCTGTGTCGTGCAAGATTGCAGTAATAAGTCTAATAGAAGTACAGGCATTTCATTACATAAAAGCCCAAACGACGAGTCTTTGAGAAGAATTTGGGTTAAATTTGTTCAGACGAAGCGCGCAAACTTTAATCCGAGTTCGATTCAGATCAAAGTAACACACTAAGAATGACATCTTACCATGAAGTAACATCAACACGGGCATCAAAACGATCTTGCAGCATGTCTTCAACCCGCCGTTCTTCTGCGACTGTAGCTTCGTACTCAGCAATTTCATCGGGCGAAGCAAGAGGTTCAATATTATCGACAAATGGCAAATTTCCGAATTAGATTCGTTCAAATTTGCCGTCATGAATTCCGATGAAGAAATCGATGCGTTTGTCTCGATCGAAGACTCAGAGAGCAAGCTAGATCTCGATGAATTTGACATTTTTTTGCTCTATTTATGTATTACTTTGTATACTTTCCAATGTGCGCTTCTTGCTGTGTTAAGACTATGACGTCACAAACTTTGCTGATTGCAAATATTCAAAATGGCCGATTTTAATGGCGGACATGAAAATTAGACATTTCAAATGTTCATAACTCCCTCGTTATATTATTATTTTTGCTTACATTTTACGAAAGCAATAATTGATATGTGTTTAAGCTATTGAATGCTAAAATCGATGATTTTTTAATGTTAAGTTTTCGTCATAGAACCACTTTAACGACAGTATTATAACACTAAACGCACAGAAAAAAAACAAAAGATCAACAAATGTTTTAGTGACGACAACTCAAAAACTACATATTCACGGTTGTAGAGCTTACTGTAGAAATTAAACGACTGAAAGTTTCATAGATTCAGAAAATAAATCGACAAGTCAAGGCAAACTGAACAATTATATCGTTTCAATGATAAGTTTGATAAAAGGCTATATAGCTCAAACTAAGCAAAAACGCGGCGAAATTGATAAAACATGTTTTAATTGAAATACAAAGAAAAAGAGACCTTACTTTCTACTTTCAGTAACTCCTCCAAGATCTTTGTCCCAAATAATGGCAACAAAGATTCGACATGCTTTTATATAATAGATACACGAGTAATTAAAAAAGTCAATATTTACTTTACACTTGATACTTTCATTTGTGAGACAGGGAGTTGAAGTTTCAGACGTTTTCGTGACTTTTATAGAATATTTCTTCTTTAATAGCAATCAACGTCTTTCGCTTTGACAAACAAACATACAGGAGCTGTCAACAGCGTAAGATAAAACTTAGTAAAGATAAAACTTAATAATTATATCATTTTTTAAGTTGGCAAAAATAAGATCTATTTTCTGGTTTATCCTTACTTGCATGCACATCTAAGAATTAGTAAAGCATTTTTCATGATGAATTGCGTTATGTTTCAGCTTAGTCGAAAAAAAATTGGCAATACTTCTTCTTAGAAACGCCCCAATTTCAAACATCTCAACTTTTTTTTATCTTAAGTTGTGTATAGGCAAGAATAGTTTTGCTAAATATCAGTTAATTCGAATAGATTCCATCACAAAGAACTTGTAGAGCAACAGCGCCAAAAGGCACGATAAACTTTGCTAATTAAGCTCAGATATGATATCTATAATGTGGGTGACTAGCGGGCATTAGGCGACCAGCCAAATTGTTATTTTACTTAAAATCAAAAGAATCATGATTTTTAGCGCACGTGAAATACTACAAAGAGTTAAATTTTCAACTTACACCACCCAAAATTTAAGATTTTAAAACTTTCCTAGTTTTTTCTAAAAATAATAGAGGTTCTTCATATTTTATAAGGAATTAACAGCTGGGAGGTAAAATTCGACATATTAGGCTATTATGAACATGAGCTTGTAAAAGTTCATTTGGCGTTTATAGAATATTTTCTTTGTAGACACATTACAGTTATCGGATACGAAAATTATTTGACTTTGACGAACAGCTAAATAATTACATATTTTTACTTTAATTGCGTTGATAAGATAGAACTAGGAATTAAGATTTAAGAATATCACCTATCATGACAAAACAATGTAACACTTGAAAAGTTAAGGCGGTGTTGTGTTTCATTGATTCAATTCTGGGTATTTTTAAAAATGGAGCATAATTGAGCAATCCGAAAGAGGAAATTAGTTTGGTGGGAGGGGGATCAAAAAGTTAAGAAAGATGCAAGTGAAATTTTTATAAACATATATTTCAGTGTGTTTGGAAGTATTGCATGCAATTTTTACATAATAACGAGTCACAATGTTTCTTGCAGCGTATTTTACGAACGTGAAATTTAATTTTGCTTGTATTTGTCTGGACTCTGGTGCAACCATTGATGGATTTAAATACTGAAAAGGTATTTTATTCGCACATCCATTTGTATGTTTCAGTTAAAATTGGTGTCAGTTGTGCGCAATGTCTTAATCTATTAAACGGTTTAAAGGACACATGCAACATAAAATTCGGATTGTTATTTTTGTACTTTCCATGAAGGTATAGCTCCAACTAATAGTTCACCAAAGTTTGAGACTCAAAGGAATAAATATTTTTGAAGATACTGACGTTTAAAGTTGATGCTTTACTGATAACGTATTGAAAATGCCCGACGAGCTAGCGACAGCTACCGATGTCGTTGTGACGTAATAGTTGACATTCGCTAAACGCGGTCAATTGCGCGCTTCGTTCAAAATATATTGGTAACTTCTTAACAACACGACAATTTAGCATTGAAAATATGATTTATTGTGCCGCGTTTAATTGTAAAAGCGGTTCTTCTAAGAACCACCAAACGCAGAAAAAGGTTTCTTTTTTTCGTTTCCCGAAAACAAGCGCATGCGAGATATTTGGATTGAAAAAATCCGACGCAAAAATTGGAAGCAACAAAGAGCTCAAAATTGTGCTCGCAACATTTCGAGAGTTCGTGCTTCGTGCAAAATTTTGAAGTGATGCAATCAGTAGGATGGACAGCAGGACGGCTTCGCCTTAAGGAGGATGCTGTACCCACGATTTTTTAATACTCTGTGGAACCCACAAGTGTAGCATCTAAAAGGAAGCAGCCAACAAATGTTAGAACTGCATTTGAGAAGAGACGAAGGCAAGAGGTGAATATTATAGTTATAGTTAGCAATATTTGTTTACATTTATCAAAAACTAAGCTATATAGCATTACCAAATTGAAGACAATTTTATAATTTTAGATTATTGACGACGTTCTTGCAGAAAATGACGACTTTCTTGTAGACGACGACCACGATGTGTCGACATCGGCTCGAAATGTTTGCACAAACAAATGTTTACCTCAAAGGAAGTTTGTCTAAGATGAATGATGCCAAAATATATGTAGACAGCGAAACACAAACATATACAGTGGTAACTAATTCAGACTAATGTCGTTTGATCTTTTCTTTGTTATTTTAACTCATAAAAAATTCCTTAACGTACCTTAGAAGCGCAATGTGAAATGCCAAGCAGCCATAACAATCCGTCCGCAAAAACACGTAAGGTCAAGAACCACTCAAACAAAAGTGCAAAATATGACAAGTAGAGGTATAGACTTTCCATTCCGGCCGTTTTGATTTTTGTGAAAAATTCAGCAATACGATAATTTTATGCTAAGGTACGGAGGTTGAGTTCATTTCAACATAAAATCGCAGCACACAGACGACGTCATGTGATATTGAACATTTTGAGGATAGCGCTGTATGGTCTGATACAGAAAGCACGTCGACGATGAGCAATAGCAACAATGGATCAGACTCTCAATGTTGAAATGAGTTAAGCGAAAATGAAGAATCCGACAATGACAATGCAACGTTACTTAGTACCAACTATCCAGTCACCTGACTATTCTTTACATTGCTTTTCTCTGTTATGTTTCTCAGAACGTTACGTTTATCTCTCTCTGATTCTGATGGTAATTTTTATGTTATAGGGAAGACGTTCAAAATGAGAGAAAATACATAGTGTTTGATAGTTGCCTGAGACAGTTAGTGAGTCAATGCCCATGTTGTGGTGAAAGCTGTTCCATTGTGACGAAAACGACTAGTAGTATGGTTAACGTACTAGCAAAATGTCATTGTGGTTATGTTCGAGACTAGAATAGCCAACCTCTGCATGAGCGAATGCCTTTGGGTAACTTCGTCTTTGCTGCCAGCATTTTGTTTAGTGGTAGTAGCCCCAGCAAAGTTCTTCAATTCCTTCGTCACTCAGGCATACAATTTCTGTCAGAGCGCACATATAGCAATATTCAAACAGCGTATTTGATACCCAGTGTTTCAAATGTTTGGCATATGAACCAAAAGCATCTTCTAGAATCAATCAGAGAAAGGAACATTAACCTTGGAGGAGATGGAAGATGTGATTCGCCTGGATATTGTGCCAAGTATGGGTCATATAGCTGTATGGATTTGGAATCTAACAACATTTTAGACACACAACTTGTTCAGGTAACAATTCTTCAACAACTGTACATAAAACATGGTTAGAATACTCACATAATTATGTTACATAGTCCAATGAAGTGACAAACTTTGGAGCTATGGAACTTGAGGGATTAAAGAGATGTCTGGAAAAGCTTGATGAAAGTGGGATGAAGGTGAAGTCAATGACCACAGACAGACATGCTCAAATCAAATCCTACATGTCAAAACAAAGACCAAAAATCGAGCACTACTTTGATGTAGGGCATGTAGCAAAAGGTATAGATTGTCATAACAAACCAACCTTTTACACATTTCATCAATAATCAAATTCCAACAGGAATCAAAAAGAAAATTTTGGCAGCATCAAAAAAAAGTGGTTGCAAATTATTGTCGGATTGGGCCCAATCAATTTCCAACATACCATGCATGTATGTAATCAATTTACGCACCAAGACAAGCGTTAAGTTTCAATTTCTGACTGGATAACTGCGAAAAAATGAAGAAATGTGGTTGAAATCAGCATATACAAAAAGTTACTCGACTTTGGGCTAAAATAAATTTTCTTAATTTCAGCTAAACAACCTCACAGACCTTGCTAACGAATGGATCAAGATGAAAATTCTGAATTGGCCGTTTATTTAATTTCGTCGATATCTTACTGTTAAATGGATTTTTTTTATGAAATTATAAGAACAATGCGCATGATAATCATTTTCAATTCTACAATCTTTCAATTTTTACAGAATGAAATATATTTTTATTTTTGGGTGAGTTAGACCACAGTAGCATGTGTTAAAATCATACTTGCTTTAAACTTACTCATACTACTAGATTTTGAGAGCAATCAGCAATTTCCTTGCCTCTCGGTGAAAATAATCAATGTATTGTGGAACACAGTTTTATAACTGTCATTATATGAAATGCCTGATTTTGTGTCACCGTTTGAAGTTTCACTATCAAATATTAGTTCTACCTCAGTCACAAGTTATAATATCTGTCATAAATATTAGAGAATTGCTTCTGCACAAAATATGCAGATACAAAGTTATGGAGAAAAATATAACCATCTCTAACATTGTCACAGATATTACGAGTGGCGTAACAAAGTGTTGATGAGTTTGAAATGCATTTGTCAAAACAAGTGCATGGTAACGACCAACTGTATCTTTCAGCACAGATTTTGAAATAAATATTATGCTTAGTAACAATTTAATAGAAAAATCATCTGCGCGTGCACTCGAGCATGCACAGTCCACTCGACTAATTGTCCATAGTCATAGCAACGACTAACTGGTCAAATAGCTCACTTAGTCGCAAATTATCAAAGAAATCATCTGAGCATGCGTGGTAATGATGTCAATCATACGACAACTTTCGTAATACTTCATATAGTAGGTGTCAACTGGCGTGGGAGCTTGGTGCGATTAAGTATGCCAACACAGTCTCAAGTTTAAATAGATGAATAGCATCAATTGACAAAACGGCTTAAATAGATAATAATCATCAATCCAAGGGAAACTCCGTAACTATCCAAATTCAATACGTTTTGCGCACCCGCGAAAAGTTAACATGGCGGAAAAACGACCAAAACGTAAGAATTCACCATATTATAGATATTGCTGTTCAAAAGGAATGGAATCATTGTGTATTAAATTAGGCAAATTTTAACTACAATTAAGCTATTATTTATTCTACCTTGATATACAGCGTGTAAAAGAAGAAATCCGAGACTCTGGAGAAAGTTCTGAATGATGGTTTAGCCTTGTTGGCGAAAGAAAAGGATCAAAATGTCGGGGAAAAAGCCTTCTCATTTTCGCTTAGTGCAAGTTGGTTTTAAGAGGTTGACACACACGCCTTACCGCTGCCGTCAAGGATCAATTAAGCAAAATGGTAATGTTAATATTTAGTATTTATATTAAAATTTACTATCTTCAGTAGTATGTTGAGATTGTTCTTGTTTGCAATTTTATGCTAAATAATATGTAGTATGCGTGTGTAACTACATCATGCTATGAAATTTTGTACTTGAAATATTGACTGTACAATTTTGCTGCTTTAAATCATATATGGCTCAAACAATTTTGTCCAGTGTCCTTAGCAGATTTGACTATTTAGTTTCTTATGGGTAAGCAGAAAGACAACTGAGTAAACTGTCATTACATTACCATGCATGGTTGTACCTAAAACTGTTACAGGTCAATGTTGTTTAAGTTAGGTACTGTATAAGAAATTGCATTGTAAATTTATATTAGATAACCAGCAGTATGATAGCTCTGTGGCTGATGACTTTCAAGTAAATGATGAGCACAAGCAAACAGACGTTGATATTGGTAAGCATCAATGTATGTGTATAATACTAAGTTAAATGTAATAGATTTGTCTAATGATTGCTCATGCTTGAAATGCTTTTAGTAAAAGTAATAATTGCATTTGAAATCAATAATTGCAATAATTTGTTGAAATGCATGTATGTAGCTCTATCCACTTTGATATTGAGCACCTTTATTTGAAATTGTCTTAGATCATATACCGTCTCATTTAATCAGAAATTGTCCACAACAAGCTCACTCAGCTAACAATTTTTAATTTCTTTACTGGTTAAATATTTTATAATATAAGTCATTATTGTTTTGTAGAGCTAGAGAATCTTATATTTGAATGCAGAGGACTTTTGGCTTCAGAGAAAGAGGATGCCAAGAAATGGTCTGATCGCATGGAAGAGCTTCATTCTCTTTGGGAAAATAATAGATCTACCATATTGAAACCTTGATCCAATGTGAATCAGTTGATAAAGGCACACCATGCTTCAATTGGGGAATCTCCAGGCTTGATAAAGTGTCATCAGTGTGGTAGTAACTGGCCAGTCTGTGTTGAATGTGATAGGAAAATTCATGAAAGAAAGCCATTCCATGATAGACATGGGTGGATGGGTAATCATTTCAGACCACTTCAGCCATCACATTCATTGGATAAAATGGACAAATAATTGAAGTTGGTATGTCATGTAAATATGGTAAAAGTATGTTAAATGTCATATGCACTATGCTAACTGATGTCAAAATCAACCTACATATGTAGCTACTTATAGGTATATAATTTGGGGTGATATAATTCTATTATTTATACAAAAAAAGGTTTTATCTCCCAGTCTAATGATGAAAATTTATTATATTTGTTTCTTAGATTGCTATGTTTCTTTGCATCCTGTCCAAAAGTTTTGTCATGGCTGCTCTAGAAAATCAACCTTTCACTCCGTGCCCAGTAAGGACATGATGACTATTTGTACAACACAAGGTAATGTACAAAGTATTTTATACTTGCAATGTTGAACATGCAAAATTTTGTGTTTGCTCCAATAAAATGTAATCTTATTGAACCGACAACTGTTGACATTAATCTTTAAACATTTTTTATTTCCTTCTTCATCAGTGTTGTGAAGGACTACTATATAATTTACTCATTAATTTACTGTAGTATTCTTCTTACATACTGTAATAGTTACATGTATACAGTAAACTGCCATCCTATGTACATAATGTCTTTTTAGTTATCATGTTTATTAATCTTTTTCTATTGTTAGGTCGCTTTGACATAAACAGTACATCATTCAAGTGTGTTTCTTGTTCAGCATTCTTGATGCCGACACTTGCAGATATTCTTGGTAATGGCTACTGGCCAGCAAATCCAAAGTCTTTAAATGTGTTATTTTCACAGGATTTACTTCTGCTGTGGAACACAATGCAAAAGAGAATGCCAGGTTGTTCTGAGTCCAGTTTTATTAGATCATTGGAAGACATAAGTGTTTCAAAAGGAAGGGTGCGTACATAAATACTTTGTGTGTATGCCACATTACTAAGTGTAAACTCTCAGCATTGTACATAGTTTTTTTTGTGTAAAGCAATTACCATTGTCACTAGTGTTATGGAAAACATCCAAATTCATGAAAAAATGTATATGTATGTGTGGCAAAAGTCTACAATTTTTTTCTATGTGATTTCTACTTTCTTTCAATTTTTAGTTTGGATCAATAAATCCACGAACGTTCACAAAAGCCTTTCGAGAATGGAAATATTTTAATTATGAGGTGGAAAAAGCCCAGGAAAAGAGTGGATGTTTTGTCCTAGTTGCTCATCCAACCAACACTCCTGTCATGTAGATGGCAACATGAAGTTATACCGATATAAACATTCAGGAAGGTATTATGTCAAACTCTGTAATTTTTACACATTCTAAGGAGCCTTTCATAATGTAAACTCTTGTTTTCTCTCTTTTATAGAGAACAAAGTCAGTCTTACTATGGAGATCTTTTTATTTCTTCGAATGAACATGTTTCAGAGCATATTAGAAAGGTTTATTCCACTCCCCAAGTTCGGGTAATTTGGAGGTCATGCTTTGCACTGATGTTGAAATGTTTTGTACAGTTCAGTACAATACACCATTACATGAGTAAAGTTCTTTTCATTATAACTCAATACTTATTGATAATGATATTTATTCATTATTATTGGTTTTGCATTTTGGCTATTGTATTCATTGTAATAAATAATAAAATCGACAGTTTAGCCTTTTCTGAATCAATATATAAATGTTCGTTTTTCCACGATCATGGTTCGAATTTGAATCTTGTGTTACAGAACTTTTCTGATGACGGGAAATGTGGTGAAAGTAATTGGCGAGCTGCTGGAAATAAAGGAAAACGAAAGAGTCGTCTAGACGAAACAGGACTGGAAATTGCAGGTTGCCGGCATGCAATTGCTCAGTGGGCTGTAAACATGTTTCGCGGAGAGATTTATGGCTACTCTAATTACATCCATGTTCACAAAATGATTCCAAACAATGTTAAATACATTTGGCAAGATATCATATGTAAATATTGGAAGTGGGCAGTGAAGGCATCAAAGTCGGATGAGTCAAATGCTCACGAAATAAAACCTGCTTTATCTGTGATGCATGCCAAAGCACATAATTGGACATGCCAGGTACACTGGTATCATGTGTTTTTATAATGAATGCTGGCTGTGTACTTATACGTATATCGATGTTCACTCTCAGTATTGTCTACTCAGACATTAATGAATTTCTTATAAACAAGAATTTCCAAACTCGTCTTATTTTAAGGTATTGTGGGAGGACGGTGGCAAAAGGTTCTGCATATTCCACAGGAGAGGAAGTTGAGCAGATTAATAGTTACCTTTCGAGACTGGCCAACACTACAAAGTACATGTTACCCGAGTGTAAGTGTTACTTAAAATAAGTTTATAAAATATGTTTAATTATATTGTAGACTTTATTTGTTGGATAGAACGATTATCCATATAACGTAGCTATCGTCCACGTTGGTCTCAAGTTACTGGAACATTTTTTATGGTTTTCAATTGATGTGTCATGCTATGTATGTGCTTTTTTGACAATTTTAGCAAGAGAAGAACTCATAACTGAACATGCTCTTGCGTGGAATAAACGGAAAATATGTGATCTGTCCAGCTCCCTCTGCAAGAGATATGCAAAGGTTGCTTCTCAAAAAGTATTTTATACATGCGGCCAAATAACGCTACTAACAGCCGTCATCCTGATAAGTTATTTTCTTTTTAGTATATAGAAGCTCAAGAAAATACAAGGAAAGAACTTGATGAAATGGTTTCTGGCGTAAATCTCTCTCCGAACCACGTTGATTTCTTGCAGTGGAAGAGTGAAGTTCAAAGTATTGCAAAAGGTAACCGGGTTTTACTTGCTGGCATAATTTAATACGACTGTGCAGTATATCATTTTTTTTCTGTTTCTGTAGAAATGGAAAGCTCCTTCTTCACGTATTTAGCCGAAGAAGAGGAATTGTACGTTTTGAGCTCCTCTTTAACCGATACCTCTTTATTGACATCAAATGTAAACATCTCGTGTGTTGAGACTGAAGACTATCTTTCTGCCCTGTCAAAAAAGATAATTCAAAGATACTCCACCGTTGAGGATAAACGTATAAGTGTCGGCATCAAGAATGCTGAACAAGAAACACACTTGAATGATGTACTGTTTATGTCAAAGCGACCTAACAATAGAAAAAGATTAATAAACATGATAACTAAAAAGACATTATGTACATAGGATGGCAGTTTACTGTATACATGTAACTATTACAGTATGTAAGAAGAATACTACAGTAAATTAATGAGTAAATTATATAGTAGTCCTTCACAACACTGATGAAGAAGGAAATAAAAAATGTTTAAAGATTAATGTCAACAGTTGTCGGTTCAATAAGATTACATTTTATTGGAGCAAACACAAAATTTTGCATGTTCAACATTGCAAGTATAAAATACTTTGTACATTACCTTGTGTTGTACAAATAGTCATCATGTCCTTACTGGGCACGGAGTGAAAGGTTGATTTTCTAGAGCAGCCATGACAAAACTTTTGGACAGGATGCAAAGAAACATAGCAATCTAAGAAACAAATATAATAAATTTTCATCATTAGACTGGGAGATAAAACCTTTTTTTGTATAAATAATAGAATTATATCACCCCAAATTATATACCTATAAGTAGCTACATATGTAGGTTGATTTTGACATCAGTTAGCATAGTGCATATGACATTTAACATACTTTTACCATATTTACATGACATACCAACTTCAATTATTTGTCCATTTTATCCAATGAATGTGATGGCTGAAGTGGTCTGAAATGATTACCCATCCACCCATGTCTATCATGGAATGGCTTTCTTTCATGAATTTTCCTATCACATTCAACACAGACTGGCCAGTTACTACCACACTGATGACACTTTATCAAGCCTGGAGATTCCCTACAATTGAAGCATGGTGTGCCTTTATCAACTGATTCACATTGGATCAAGGTTTCAATATGGTAGATCTATTATTTTCCCAAAGAGAATGAAGCTCTTCCATGCGATCAGACCATTTCTTGGCATCCTCTTTCTCTGAAGCCAAAAGTCCTCTGCATTCAAATATAAGATTCTCTAGCTCTACAAACAATAATGACTTATATTATAAAATATTTAACCAGTAAAGAAATTAAAATTGTTAGCTGAGTGAGCTTGTTGTGGACAATTTCTGATTAAATGAGACGGTATATGATCTAAGACAATTTCAAATAAAGGTGCTCAATATCAAAGTGGATAGAGCTACATACATGCATTTCAACAAATTATTGCAATTATTGATTTCAAATGCAATTATTACTTTTACCAAAAGCATTTCAAGCATGAGCAATCATTAGACAAATCTATTACATTTAACTTAATATTATACACATACATTGATGCTTACCAATATCAACGTCTGTTTGCTTGTGCTCATCATTTACTTGAAAGTCATCAGCCACAGAGCTATCATACTGCTGGTTATCTAATATAAATTTACAATGCAATTTCTTATACAGTACCTAACTTAAACAACATTGACCTGTAACAGTTTTAGGTACAACCATGCATGGTAATGTAATGACAGTTTACTCAGTTGTCTTTCTGCTTACCCATAAGAAACTAAATAGTCAAATCTGCTAAGGACACTGGACAAAATTGTTTGAGCCATATATGATTTAAAGCAGCAAAATTGTACAGTCAATATTTCAAGTACAAAATTTCATAGCATGATGTAGTTACACACGCATACTACATATTATTTAGCATAAAATTGCAAACAAGAACAACAATCTCAACATACTACTGAAGATAGTAAATTTTAATATAAATACTAAATATCAACATTACCATTTTGCTAATTGATCCTTGACGGCAGCGGTAAGGCGTGTGGGTCAACCTCTTACAACCAACTTGCACTATGCAAAATGAGAAGCTTTTCCCCGACATTTTGATCCTTTTTCTTTCGCCAACAAGGCTAAACCATCATTCAGAACTTTCTCCAGAGTCTCGGATTTCTTCTTTTACACGCTGTATATCAAGGTAGAATAAATAATAACTTAATTGTAGTTAAAATTTGCCTAATTTAATACACAATGATACAATGATTCCATTCCTTTTGAACAGCAATATCTATAATATGGTGAATTCTTACGTTTTCATCTGATGCGCGATATATTTTTTGCTACTTTGGCTAGCAATATTGTGATACATCACACAACATCACACTATCACACTCGAATGACGTAATGTCCGCAGAGTCGCATTCGTCTTTCTCCCGAAAATACTCGATGAAAACTCCTCACTGACAATTTACACCCGTTTCGCTCATTCTAAATGGGTATTACTCAGAGTTCTAAATTTTAAAATGCGGAAGATAGCCAATTTAGATTGCTTTCTGTGCTATCTAAAGCCCGAGACACACTGTCGCTGTCGCTTGGTCGTTACGGTGAAACGACAGAGCGACGAAGCGACACGAAAAATGATGACAGACACACTGTCGCTAGCGCAACAGGCAAAGCGACTTGATTTTAAGCACGTACCAGTCCCCTAGAGAATTTTAGCGGAAATACGAATTTGGCGGTTCATTTCAGTATGGCGTCGAACCAGAACTTACGAGATATATTAATAGCAATTGTTTTAAACGAGTTGGACGAGGAAGAAAACAAACAAAACCGACGGGTAGTTCGTAAGAGGCGCTGCTGGGTGAGAGATATCAACCGACGACAACGCGAACAAGGTGACTTTGGAAACTTAGTTCAAGAATTGAGGAATGACGAAGAACAATTCTTTATTTACTTCAGAATGAATCAAATGACCTTTGATTTCCTTTTGAGCTTAGTTGGTCCTTCATTAAGAAGGCAAAATACTCATTTGCGTCAGTCAGTTTCACCAGGAGAAAGGCTAGCCATCACTTTGCGTAGACTGGCAACAGGAGATTCGCCTCAGTCAGTGGCCTTTGCATATCGTCGTGGTTTAAGTACAGTTCGCAGCATAATATACGATACATGTGAGGTTTTGTGGTCTGTACTTATGCCAATGTATTTAAAAGCACCATCGAGTGCATTAGAATGGCAGGGTATTGAGCAAGGGTGAGTTTCTATCTCATTATCATGTTGATTTATTGCACGGAGTGAGTTCCTGAGCTTGAAACAAAGTTTCTTTACTGTTTGTGACCTAGTTTTTCAATTGAAATCGATTCTCTACTGTCTGGAATTTTCCAAATTGTATTGGTGCTTTGGATGGGAAACATATTGCAATTCAGGCTCCTAGAAACTCTGGCTCAGCATTCTTCAATTACAAAAAGTTTCATTCCATTGTGCTGATGGCAATGTGTGATGCCCATTATCAGTTTGTGTATGTTGATGTTGGAGAATCTGGCGGTGGAGTGACTCTGGAGTCTTGAAAATACAACATTTGGATCAGCATTCCTAAATGGTATGCACATGTAATTGATCTTAAAATGCAAAACATATATATTTTGTATATATACATAAAGTGCAATTTTTTAAAGGAAAAGTCCAGTTACCAGACCCCAGACCTCTGATAAATGATGGCAAGAAGATGCCATATTGCATTGTTGGGGATGAGGCTTTTCCATTGAAGACATGGATTATGCGACCATATCCTGGTAAATCTTTGGACTGTGTAGCAAAAAAAGTATTCAATTACAGATTATCAAGAGCTAGAAGGACAATTGAAAATACATTTGGTAAACTCAAATAAAAACATTGTTGTATATATCAATACTTCATAATTTGATTATGTCAATATCTGTAGGCATCATGGTTTCCAAGTGGAGAATCTTGAAAACTGCTATTGTTGCTGAGCCAAACAACATGGTCAAATTGACTAAAGCTATATGTGTTCTTCACAACTTTCTGCGAAAGCAATCTGCAGCAAGTTACACACCTCCTGGCTCCACAGATACAGTGGATGAAAATGGCCAAATAAATGAAGGGAGTTGGAGAGCTGAGATGGAAAAAGCTACTCTTCAACCCATTGCTCAGAGCTCTAGAAACCAAACAAAAGCAGCTCTTAGAGTAAGAGAAGATTTTGCATGTTATTTTATGTCATCTGAAGGAGAGTTATCTTGGCAAGTGGATTATGTCCTTCGTACATCATAACATAAATAGAATATTTGGAAAAGAGTCGGTTTATTTTGTTAGTTTTTTTTTTATTTGAAAATAATGATTGTAACAGAAACACTTAAAAAACCTCAAACTAATTTTCTGGAAACTCCAGCTTAAAAAGAACATCCTGAATCTCCTTCTTGGCTTTAGCCCTAGCATATGGAGTAGGTAGCTTCCTAATTTGCTCAGCAACACTCTTTCCGAAAAAGTCATATTCATCTTGACTCTCTGGCTCTTCAACTTGTTTTTTGTGAAGAGTTTCTAGATACCCAATCAACTTTGTTTGATATGGTGACATGTCTTCAGCCTTCCTCTCCTTGCATCGTACAATTTCAGATGTGCTGGACAAATTTGTTGATTGGCTTGATGAACTGTCAGCAAGCACACTCTCAGCTATCTCCTCAGAGTCTTCCTGGATTTGAGAAGACGTAAGTTGGTCTTCCACAGGGATAACAACATTCGAGATTGTCCTATGAATAAAATGATCAATTACTCATAGAAATAGCTTATTTTGCCTACATTGTTATTAGAAAGTCATAGTGTAATTTCAAAATTACATACTGGCGTCGTTTTGCGAAATCATCCAGCCAGGTCAAAATAGACCAAAACTCCCAGTTTGGTGTTGAGGAAGCAGGAGCACCAGATTTGATAGCTGCATCATGCTTCTTTTTGCATCGCCTATATGTGTCTCGCAAATTTTTCATTTTATCTTTTAGTTCGTTTGCTTAATAAGAGAAAAATAAATATTTATTTGACTGGGTCAGACGATACTGACAAAAAATATTGTGAGATAAGAAAACATGTTTTGCGAAATGACTATTTACCTGAGAAATCAAAACCGATTGCACGCATTTCTTCGGCTATCTTTTTCCAGATATTTGCCTTCAATTTTTCATCTTTATAGTCTTTTAAAGACATGTCGTAAAGAGCAGGATACGCGCGAAAAGAATTTATAAGTGCTTCTTCTAGTGACGCCATTTTGAAAATTTGTCCTAGCGACACAGCGATTTCATGTGCTCCAGCGAATTCGCTGGCTGTGTTGAAACCATTGAGCTCTAAAAGACCTGGAGGGGCAAAGGGGCCTGGACCCCGTGGTCAAAAACATGGCGGTAATGGCGGATTTTGGTTGTCAAAACTTCCACTTTGAGAAAAATTTTTAACATTCGCTCCCTCCCGAATGCGGATCTCTATTCCTGCGTATATAAAAACAACCAGCGAAAACAACCACGATACTGTAAGCATAAAATATTGAAAATAATGCTTCAGGTTTTTGTGAAATAGACACACACATTTAAATGAGGTAAATCTACTGTAAAATAACGTATATTTTGTCAAGTAATGCTTTAGCTATATTAGAAATAAATATCAAACGGCATTCTTTAAACTGTCAATGTGTTGTTAAGCAATGCATAATCCCATGCGCATTACTTGTGTTTTTGACTGTTTGTTAACAGCTTGGTGCAACTGTCTTTCTTGAATAGATGGGTAAATCTTAGTTAAAATGTCCAAAAGGAGTTAGAAAAGTTAGCTTACCCCTACGACTTAAGTCGACTGGAAATATATTATAAGTAGGTATGTAATTTTTGAGTTTTTTTGGTAGAATTGATTCTGGGTGTCTTATAAAGTATTATGATATTCTGATAAATCTACTGAGAACTTATGAAGAAAATATCTTGAACTAGGAGAGCAAAAGAACGAAATTCAGAAATTCTATAATCATGTTGCTGGTTCTGTTTTGAGCCAAGATATTAGAAACTGGATTGTCATTGACAACCATGGATCTACTACTGAACAGAACTACATTAATTTCCCATTGAAAATACGATTTCATAAATTAAAGTGCATTGGTTTCTCTGACATAACACTTTTCTTATTGCTGCATGAAGGCAAATCTGTTTAAATAATTATAATGTAGGTGAAGATATTTAGCATGTTGTATAATTGTTATTGTACAGTCATTATTTATAATATTATGGCCTTGTGTAATGTATGTCAAGAAGAACTTATTAATTCTCAAAAATGCTAACCTTCTTGCACTACTTTTCTCTTGTGTCCTTACAAATTGCAGTTACCTATACTAATTTTTTCTAGGTTCAAACAACTTGACAAACTTTTGAATTGTACATTATGCCTTTAAATTTTTGTTTCCATCTTTTGATAAAAATATCAGTGAATGACTTAAAAATCAAGTTTATATAAAACAGTATTTTGTACAAAGAAACTATACATAGTTGGAAAAGTCTCATGTTGAAAACAGATGTCGCTTCTTTTACTAGATTGCTACTCTTATTCTTTTAAATGATATCATAATTCTTCAAGACATAAAAAGTTTTTTGCCATCAATTTTTGCTTGTTCCACATTCAACTTCATTGCAATCAATGCATCTTATGTGAATTTTTAATCACCTGGAATTGAAAAATGTATGGATTTTGTCAGATGATGCAGTACTATATTTAAGGTTACATGTCATCATAATAAGCTTATCTTGAGCAAATATTTCAAGGTAGGAGCATAATTTGGCACATTATTGAACAAAGTAGTTTTATCTTATTTTTATGTACTAACCTGTTTACTACAACAAACAATTCATTTACAGAAACACCAGATGGCATTTATAAAACTTTTAGCAAAAGCAAACCTTAACACACCATCATCAAGATTGTCCATAATCTGTCAAATTGTCCAGGCTAGCTGTTTAATACAGGTATTTTTATTGTACGACATGTACCAAAGAGCATTAATCCTGCACTGCATTTGATTTCAATACAGCTCTGTCTTAATATTTGCTTCATATTTTCAGAAAAATATCATGAAAAATCCTCCATTTCAACTCAGTTGAAACAAGGAGTTTTAAGATATGCATATCTCGATAAGAACTGGTTGCTTTGCCTCGTCTAGCAATCGATTAAGTAAAGAACAAATAAGACTGGATAAACATAACTTAAATTATAACTTAGGAGTAAAACATTCACAAAATATATGCCATCACACTTCAAGTATTGACTTAAAACAAAACACTGAACACTTTAAATAGTAAACAATCTTACGTTGCTTACCGGTGTCATGAAATGTTTCCTTTCTGGCATTACTTCAGCATCCGTATACCAAACAGGTTTGCAGCATGTTTTAAAGATAAAATTTCTAAAGTTTTGTGCTTGGCATTGATATTTTATATAATCGCAATTGTGGTTGTCAAATCCGGGTGGGCGAAAAATTTCATTTTATGAGCCCGCGTCTCCGCTGACTTTGACAACCAAAATCCGCCATGTTTTTGACCACGCGGCCGCGCGCTGATAATTTATAGTAATTTTGATGACGTTTCCCCTCCAGGTCTTATAGAACTCAATGGTTGAAACGACACAGCGACACGGCTTTGTAACCGCGCAATCCCGTCGCTGCGCGGTAACGACATAGCGACAGCGACAGTGTGTCTCAGCCATTGAGCTCTATAAGACCTGAAGGGGCAAAGGGGCCTGGGCCTCGTGGTCAAAAACATGGCGGTAATGGCGGATTTTGGTTGTCAAAACTTCCACTTTGAGAAATTTTAACATTCGCTCCCTCCCGAATCGGATCTCTATTCCTGTGTATTAATGACAACCAGCGAAATCAACCACGATATCGTAAGCATCAAATATTGAAAATAATGCTTCAGGTTTTTGTGAAATAGACACACACATTTAAAAGAGGTAAATCTACTGTAAAATAGCGTATATGTTTTCAAGTAATGCTTTAGCTATATTAGAAATAAATATCAAACGGCATTCTTTACACTGTCAATGTGTCGTTAAGCTTTAATGCATAATCCCATGCGCAATACTTGTGTTTTTGACTATTTGTAAACAGCTTGGTGGAACTGTCTTTCTTGAATAGATGGGTAAATCTTAGTTAAAATGTCCAAAAAGGAGTTAGAAAAAGTTAGCTTACCCCTACGACTTAAGTCGACTGGAAATATATTATAAGTAGGTATGTAATTTTTTTGAGTTTTTTTTGGTAGGATTGATTCTGGGTGTCTTATAAAGTATTATGATATTCTGATAAATCTACTGAGAACTTATGAGGAAAATATCTTGAACTAGAAGAGCAAAAGAACGAAATTCAGAAATTCTATAATCATGTTGCTGGTTCTGTTTTGAGCCAAGATATTAGAAATTGGATTGTTATTGACAACCATGGATCTACTACTGAACAGAACTACATTAATTTCCCATTTAAAATACTATTTCTTAAATCAAAGTGCATTGGTTTCTCTGACATAACACTTTTCTTATTGCTGCATGAAGGCAAACCTGTTAAGATAATTGTAATGTAGGTGAAGATATTTAGCAGGTTGTATAATTGTTATTATACAGACATTATTTATGATATTATGGCCTTGTGTAATGTATGTCAAGAACTTATTAATTCTCAAAAATGCTAACCTTCTTGCACTACTTTTCTTTTGTTTCCTTACAAATTACAGTTACTTATACTAATTTTTTCTAGGTTCAAACAACTTGACAAATTTTTGAATTTTACATTATGCCGTTGAATTTTTCTTTTTGTCTTTTGGTAAAAATATGAGTGAATGACTTAAAAATCAAGTTTATCTAAAATAATATTTTGTACAAAGTAACTATACATATAATTGGAAAAGTCTCATGTTGAAGGCAGATGTGGCTTCTTTTACTAGATTGCTACTCTTATTCTTTTAAATGATATCGTAATTCTTCAAAAGACATAAAAAGTTCTTTGCCATCAATTTTTGCTTCTTCCACATTCAACTTCATTGCAACCAATGCATCTTATGTGAATTTTTAATCACCTGGAATTGAAAAACGTATGGATTTTGTCAGATGATGCAGTACTGTATTTAATGTTTCATGCATGTCATGATAAGCTTTTCTTGAGCAAATATTTCAAGGTAGGAACAAAATTTGGCACATTATTGAACAAAGTAGTTTTTCTTGATTTTGATGTACTAACCTGTTTACTACACTGTGTAACAAACAATTCATTTACAGAAACACCAGATGGCATTTATAAAACTTTTAGCATAAAGCAAACCTTTACACACCATCATCATGCTTGTCCAAATCTGTCAAATTGTCCAGGCTAGCTGTTTAATACAGGTAATTTTTATTGTACAACATGTACCAAAGAGCTCATTAATTAATCCTGCTGCATTTGATTTCAATACAGCTCTGTCCTTAATATTTGCTTCATATTTTCAGAAAATATCATGAAAAAATCCTCCATTTCAACTCAGTTGAAACAAGGAGTTTTAAGATATGCATATCTCGATAAGAACTGGTTGCTTTGCCTCGTCTAGCAAGCGATTAAGTAAAGAACAAATAAGACTGGATAAACATAACTTAAATTATAACTTAGGAGTAAAACATTCACAAAATATGCCATCACATCAAGTATTGACTTAAAACAAAACACTGAACACTTTAAATAGTAAACAATCTTACGTTGCTTACCGGTGTCATGAAATGTTTCCTTTTCTGGCATTACTTCAGCATCCGTATACCAAACAAGTTTGCAGCATGTTTTAAAGATAAAATTTCTAAAGTTTTTGTGCTTGGCATTGATATTTTATATAATCGCAATTGTGGTTGTCAAATCCGGGTGGGCGAAAAAATTTCATAAGTGAGCCCGCGTCTTTTGCTGACTTTGACAACCAAAATCCGCCATGTTTTTGACCACGCGGCCGCGCGCTGATAATTTATAGTAATTTTGTTGACGTTTCCCCTCCAGGTCTTATAGAACTCAATGGTCTCAGCCTTTAGAGATCACTGTGTGAGATAATTAGTTCTCAGACTTCTGTAAACAACGCAGATCATTTAAAGTTGTCATAAAAGAACTAATAAACTATTATGAATTTCTTTTCGTCAAAGAAAAAACACTGTTTTGTTGTAACTTATTTACCTAAAATTACTATGTAGAACACTAAAACTTACAAGAATGCCAGAAAAGGTTTGTAAACATTCATACGCATCGTGAAATGACTCAAATACATCATTGTTCCTATAATGTATTTATGTAGCGGGTAATTTGAAATTATTTCTTTACAAGATAACTTCTTGTGAACTTATACATGAAACTAGGTCATGAACTTAAATCATGAAATTGAAGTATATTTTAGTTGTCATAATGATAAAATGCTATGAAACACCATCACTTTTGCTAAATATTTTGTATAATAAATGTATGTGTCATAGGTGCATCATGTCTTGAATTTATGGCAAAATGCTTGATGTAAAATTTCATGTCTGCCTTCTTTTGTCATATCCCGAGACTTGTGTATGCTGAATTTGTACACAACCTGTTTTTACCAATATACCTGCACTTAATGTTTGTTATAGAGGAGGACATCAGTTGTTCATCCGATCACTGATTTTCCTACTTGTGATAAGGTGTTGTATTTTTTTCATGTTATTTTCTTAAAGAAATAAATATGTATTTAGATCTCAGTTGCTATGATAGAACATTGTCATTTCGGGTGCTTACTTTTGGTTTGCTAAATAACAGGTTAATAATTATATAGTAAATAGATATTCATAAGGAAGATAGGGGCTGTATTTAATTCAGGAATCGACATTTAAATGATTTAATTATCCAATGAGAATCAGATTTAGTTTTTGTATTTACTTGATTAAGGAAGCAAAATGCTACTGGTTAGGACACCCTTTTATCTTCCCTCCATTCAATGAAGAGCTTTTCTTTCAGTGCCCGAAAAATGAACCAACATTTTTTGATCCAGACTGTGAAGGTTGTATGGAGATTTTGTCAAAGTATGTACAATGCTGACAACATTTTTTACAACAACTTTTCATTTCTACACTTAAAAGACATTTTATACTAACCTTCGTTGTGCATCTCCTTGAAGTGTTCTCGCTGAAAATAATTCTTCACTTCCTAAACAGTACACAACTTTGAAATGGAGGAATTTATGTGTGATAATTCTTTAAAAAATTTACCAGTAAAATATTTACCCAGTGCTCATAAAAATGGTAAACGATGTCGCTATTTTCTTTATGATTACATTACTCCCACGTAGGAAATCTAAAACTACCGTTGTAGAACCGTAATTTATGATTCCCATTGAGCTTTTACCACGAATTTCAGGGAGGACACATCCATATCCGAAATATTCGCTATCGTGAGACAATGGGTACCGCAAGTGCAAAAAAATTTGGAAAAATTTGTTCACGAGGTTGGATGAATACATATTTCTGTGATCTTAGATACGTTAATCACGCTTTAAATACTCCATTTTCTAAAGAATAAGCGATAGAGAGATAAGATGGGGAAGATTAAATAACCCAAGATGATGACGTAATGTATTTACCATTCAGATAACACGACGTGGTGGAGGTATCAATGACCGCGATGGTTTAACTGACATGACGTTACTTCATTATGCTTGTAAATCTGGATCTGGTGAGATAAATTACTTTAGCATACCTGTGTATGCTTAATGTACTTTAGAAACGTTTTTTTCTTACAGTGGGTATTGGTGATGTTGATAATGCAACTGCTTTGGTTACTGAACTCATTTCTCAGGTAACTGGAACGCTATTAATGACATCCACGACATTGCCAATTGTTTCATCTATTCATCGATACAACACATTTTTTTTAAAGTTTTCTTCTAGTATCGGAGTTACGTTATAAAATAATGGATTTACTATAGGGAGCAGATCCTTCTATAAGATGTCGATGGACGGACATGCTTCCCATACATTATTCTGCTTTCTTTAACTGTGCGCCCGTGATCAGAGTACTGTTAAAAGCCAGCGGTGGTAGAGGTGGGGATATTAAAAATTTATATATTTGTATGAATGTGATGGTGGATCGTTTTTGCCTTCTCAGATATTGACGCCACTAGTTCTGGGTTTGATAATGGAACAATACTTCATATAGCCGCGAGCAATCTGTGTTTGGACTCTGCCAAGTGTTTGGTAAGTCGCTAGGTTTTCATTTAATTCGATTTTAAAATCATCTTGGAGTAATGTAAAGATTTCATGTCAGTCATGATGTACTGTTAACTCTTCAAATAGCTGCAACATGGCGCCAATGCATTTGTCAAAGATGATCAGAATAGAACAGCATTAAATACAATCCCAGAAGGTAAACTCATCTGTTGTGTTATGTATGTTGCTTACCTCACCAACCTATCAGATTGAGTGTGATAACACATTTACGTGTTTGATGAGTGTAGTAACAAGGTATTGAAATCACCTTTTAGCAAATACTTTTGAGCGTTCTTCGCCATCGTTAGTTATTGCCAACAAACTAAGAAGATTACTAAATGAGGCCGAGACAAGTGGTAGTGAATCAGGGATGGAGTCAGCTACAGTAAGTTTCTTAGAACAACATTTCTTAGTTCTCACATCGCGTGATTTCAACTGCGTTTTATATATTTCTCAATCGTTGCCAGGATTCATCTGTAAATATGTCGGATATAATTGGATTGAAAATTGGTGATCACGTTATAGTTGGTGGCACTAAGGTTTGTTAACACAATTCTTGTGAGGAAATCACAAGTCACAGTTTTGTTAAAAGTTCACATCACAGGTTTTCATCAAAGTTCAGACGTCACAGGTTTTCATCAAGGTTCATACGTCACAGGTTTTCATCAAGGTTCATACGTCAAAGGTTTTCATCAAGGTTTATACGTCGCAGGTTTTCATCAGGGTTCATACGTCAAAGGTTTTCATCAAGGTTCATACGTCAAGGTTTTCATCAAAGTTCAGACGTCAAAGGTTTTCATCAAGGTTCAGACGTCAAAGTTTTCATCAAGGTTCAGACGTCAAAGGTTTTCATCAAGGTTCAGACGTCAAAGGTTTTCATCAAGGTTCAGACGTCAAAGGTTTTCATCAAGGTTCAGACGTCGAAGGTTTTCATCAAGGTTCATACGTCAAAGGTTTTCATCAAAGTTCAGACGTCAAAGGTTTTCATCAAGGTTCAGACGTCAAAGGTTTTCATCAAGGTTCAGACGTCAAAGGTTTTCATCAAGGTTCAGACGTCAAAGGTTTTCATCAAGGTTCAGACGTCAAAGGTTTTCATCAAGGTTCAGACGTCGAAGGTTTTCATCAAGGTTCAGACGTCAAAGGTTTTCATCAAGGTTCAGACGTCGCAGGTTTTCATCAGGGTTCATACGTCAAAGGTTTTCATCAAGGTTCATACGTCAAAGGTTTTCATCAAAGTTCAGACGTCAAAGGTTTTCATCAAGGTTCAGACGTCAAAGGTTTTCATCAAAGTTCAGACGTCAAAGGTTTTCATCAGGGTTCATACGTCACAGGTTTTCATCAAGGTTCATACGTCGATGGTTTTCATTAAAGTTCAGACGTCAAAGGTTTTCATCAGGGTTCAGACGTCACAATTTTTTCAAGGTTCACACATCACAGGTTTTCATCAAGGTTCAGACGTCAAAGGTTTTCATCAAGGTTCATACGTCACAGGTTTTAGTTTTTTATTTTAGATGGGTATATTACGATACTGTGGCAGTACAGATTTCGCTAAAGGTCAGTGGGCTGGAGTTGAACTCAACGATCCAGTTGGAAAGAACGATGGATCAGTAGGCGGGAAAAACTACTTTCACTGTAAACCAAAACACGGTATAAAGTAGAATATTTATGTTTGTCATTCGTATGGTTAATTGAACATGATAAATGTTGTCTTTTAGGATTATTTTGTCCTGTTTCTAAAATCTCCATACCGAAACCACATAATCATGCGATAAAAACACGACCTAACTCTGTTAAACTTAACACGAACCTCACACGTATCGTACCTTCCAAACGTTCGACAAGTGGTTCGTTACCAGGCTCTCGTTCTTCTTCCCGGTCACCTTCACCTCAACCTACACAGAAAACAGAGGAAAACACGAACATCAAGGTGTTCACATAATGGTGTAGAAATTCATTTTTCACGGTTTTTATGTTTCTCCATAAAATATTTCTTTATGGTTTATAATTAGGTCGGGGATAGACTTGTTATGTTGAATGATAACAGGAGAAGAGGTATCACTAGATATGTTGGTGAAACACAGTTTTCATCCGGGTAAGTTGTGGTAGGAATGACCGTTGTAACTAGACAATTTATAATAAATAATGTTTGTATCTTTAGTCTTTGGATAGGAGTAGAGTTGGACACAAGTATGGGCAAAAACGATGGTTCAGTAAACGGCATTCGATATTTTGTTGTAAACCCAATCATGGCATCTTTCTCATCCCTCCAAATTCGTGATGTATGTTGTAAAGATGTTGTTCATGATAAGTAAATGTCTGAAATGAATTTCTTACCATATTTTTCATAATAGCGAGAAAGATGTACAAGAACGACCGTCATTAGCAAAATCAAAGGAGATTAGTATCTCAGATGATGCAATCAACCAACCTCAACAGACTGTTAACGACGATAGTGGGATAAACAGAGATAAAACGAAAAGTAGATTAAGTTTATTGAATAGACGTCTATCCAACTCGGTTCCTGATCTCACTCAGAAACGCCATAAACAGTACGTATATTATTGTCCTTTAATGCGATTGACAATTGTCTTTACCCAAACCACAAAATTACTAAGTTCCAAATATTGTCAACTACATATATTGCTGCAACGTCACATACGTTGAAATTCCTTTGAAACAAAGTCGCACGGCTCTTTACGTATGTAAACACAATATGTGAAAAGGAAATGGTTGTAAAATCTTACCTCCATCGTATGTAAACACAATATGTGAAAGGGAAATGGTTGTAAAATCTTACCTCCATCGTATGTAAACACAATATGTGAAAGGGAAATGGTTGTAAAATCTTACCTCCATCGTATGTAAACACAATATGTGAAAGGGAAATGGTTGTAAAATCTTACCTCCATCGTATGTAAACACAATATGTGAAAGGGAAATGGTTGTAAAATCTTACCTCCATCGTATAAACACAATATGTGAAAGGGAAATGGTTGTAAAATCTTACCTCCATCGTATGTAAACACAATATGTGAAAGGGAAATGGTTGTAAAATCTTACCTCCATCGTATGTAAACACAATATGTAAAGGGAAATGGTTGTAAAATCTTACCTCCATCGTATGTAAACACAATATGTGAAAGGGAAATGGTTGTAAAATCTTACCTCCATCGTATCACAATATGTGAAAAATGGTTGTAAAATCTTACCTCCATCGTATGTAAACACAATATGTAAAGGAAATGGTTGTAAAGTCTTACCTCCATCGTATTTTTACAGATTACATTCCCGTCGGGAAAGTGGTATACCTAGATTCAAACGTACGGCTACCAAGAAGAACAATTCAGACAGTGAAAACGTCAGTAAAAATTCATCATAGCGAGAAGAGTTTTCGTGAACAGTTTTTACTCTCGACAATATGTCTCTTCATGATAGATTTCTTAAGTGACATCTTCAACTCTTTATGAAATCATTTTATTGAGTATAAGACATCAAAATCTTGTTTCCAAAACCATGTTATAATATTGAATGATATTAGGGCTTTGAAATCGAGACTTTCGATAGAAGAAGATTGATTTCAGTAAAGATTTTTACATGTAATGATCAAAGCTAAACGAGAGTGCGACCTGTATATTTCACCCTAAATCATGTCATTAGATTAAATAACTTAATGTATACTTTACTGTACAGTTTGTGTTTTTCTTAGATGAACCATTGGATAATAAATACCACCAATATACACAATTATCATCCCATGTTCATAGTTGTTCTTCAATCTCTCCTCAACCACAAGATTATTTTCTTGAAGGTGTGCCTACCTTAGACCTTCTAAACCACGGCTTGCTTTCTTCAGCTGCTACCGCTGACATGAAGTTCGACAGACGATGTTCAAGATCTTGCACGTTACATTCAGCTTCGACCAATGATAATTTAGTCTGCGCTAACTCTAGTTCCAGTTCTTTCATGCGCTGGTCAGCGTCCACTATCTTTACACTTGACTTAAACTTCTTACCTGACAATGTATCGTCGTTGTCCGTGAATATTTCTGAACAGTTCGTACACGAACTGATTCTTTTCTAAAATTAAGGATGTTATACCATGAAAGTAAACAGTTTATCGTAGTTTTCTACGTTTAAAATTATTACGTAGTTTTCTACGTTTAAAATTATTACGTAGTTTTCTACGTTTAAAATTATTACGTAGTTTTCTACGTTTAAAATTATTACGTAGTTTTCAACGTTTAAAATTATTACGTAGTTTTCTACCTTTAAAATTATTACGTAGTTTTCTACGTTTAAAATTATTACGTAGTTTTCTACGTTTAAAATTATACTTAGGTACGTATAACTACGTAATTAATAATTTACCAAGATTTCTCGCAGTTCTTGCTCTAAATTTGACTTCAGTTCTTCGCTGCGCTCGTCCAGATTTGAGCATATCTACAATGGAAACACATGTAAAGAATTATTTACAACCATTTGACAAGTCTATATCATAGACATCATTAAAGACGATTAAAACGAAGAATAACATCCTAAATACGTAAACATGAACAAGTAAATACGGCTAGACTAAAAAAATTCATGACGGGCGAGATTTGTGTTAAGAAATAAAAAGATGTTCACTTTGTTTGCACAGGGTTATGCAAACCGAGGAGACCTCTGGGAGAACTCGAGAGCAGATCAGTGCAAGTTCAAGTCCGAAGGTCGAGGGTTGCACCTGCTCGAGAGTTCTTACAAACATCATCGAGGTTTGCATAAGCCATTGCAAACACCAAAAACATCTTTTATTCCTTTTATAAAAGAACATCAATGCGAAACAGACAAATGTAAAACAAACGTTATTCTTCCTCTAAAATATGTTGATGATTGATTGGGAACAATTTACCTTCTTGTACTCCTCAATAACAGACTCATATCGTAATTTTGTAGCCACACTTTCATCGTCATTCTTACGCAATAAATCCTTCACCTACATTTATAAAAATAACGAGCATTTACACAAATTACATAAACAAAATGCAAAACATTTCATTGCTTACACGAATGTTCTCTGCACGAAGTTTCTCGTTTTCGTCTTCAAGTTCTGGAATTTTCTTTTGCAAAATTTCCATTTCTCGAAGATAATCGTCCGCACGTTCTTCAGCCTTTAAATCCATGAGAAAACCATGTAGTGGTCACATGACAACATTGCATAGTTGAATTCTTTATCGTAAAGGAATAGTACCAGCAAACTGACGATAAAAACGATAAAATTTTGAATTACCTTATCCAACTTTTCTCGAAGCGAAATCTTATTTGAAACAAGCTCATGTGCAAGAGAATCGTTTTCATGTTCAAGTCTGATATTCGCAAGCATCAGCTGTTTATTCTCACGCTAAAAGAATTTAGACAAAAGAAAGCTGAATGATAACTTTTGTTGAAAAGGTACATGTTTATAACTACACGAGAAAAAACCTTCAGTCTCTCCACTGGGTTCTCATTTTCTTTCTCTCTTTCTTTCTTCAATTCATACAATTCTTCGTACCTTTTCAACTTTTTTACAACACTCTGTAAGAATAATTCAATACACCAAAAAAGGTAAAAACATACGACGCATGCGCAAGAGGTGAGAAGGTAGTTAAAAGTTTGAGGAGCGCTTACTTTGTAGGAAAGAGTCACATTTATAAAGATACTTTGTTCATCCTCGCTGATAAATCTCTTGGGAAGTGACACGCGAAAGTACTTCAACATTCCTTCAAAACTGAGCTGTAGCAAGTCTTTCTTGGCAACCTTGAAGTTGAAAAGGAAGATTTTGTAAATTACTTAGGACATTATTGTCACGGAAAAATTTAGGAATAAATAAGAAAGTTCAATAAACTTCTTCAATACCTTCAATAGAGCCGTCGCAATTTGATAAATGCACTGTTGACCCTGATGATAAACAAACAAGTTAGTCATGCTATACACATGCTATACACATGCTATACACAACCATGGCAAAGTTTTACAACTAACCTCACTCAGATATAAGTCGATGACACGGTAAACCAAGGAAAGAGGAAATTTAGCAGTAAACAGTGTTAAAAACCATTGTGAACCGAACATATGAGGTTCTATTTTATTCTCAACAAAATGACTGTAAAGATCAGGTAAAAATTCCTACAACATATCAAAGAAGGTGGATCGTGTTAATCACGTGATTGATGACGTATTGGAAAACAATGAAACGAGGGTTGGCAAACCTCGACAATTCTTTCCAAAACAAAGAATCTCTCGTTAAGTTTTTCAAAACCATCAAGAAATAATTCTCGATGACCGTAATTGTACATAATCTTGACAAAAACACCAAACGCTTGCTCCTCCGGAAGCTAATGTCAGACATACGTAGCAAGTGAGTGTTGACGGTAAAAGATTTTACGACATGTCAAAATACTTACATGAAGTAAAAGTACAGCAGCAAGATATGACATTCCTTGACAATAACCTACTTCGTCATCATATACAGAATATGCCTAAAATCATAAAAGTTTTGTACAAAGTTTTCTATCTTCTTCTTATAAGCTGTAAATACGTAACCAAAATAAACTATGTTTTTTTGCATACCCGACAAATTTTCTCAAGGTTTTCTTGACCTTCACCTTCACTTGATCGAAAATACTCGTGCCCAGGAAACGTGCGATGAATATCCCACTTTATAACTTTTTCAGTCGGCGATTCCTGTGATCACATGATCAATTACATCCCAACACATGATCAATTACATCACAACACGTGTTCAATTACATCACAACACATGATCAACTACGTCAGAAAGCCTCCAAAGAAATACAAACCCTTCGTATAAGATCTTTATAACTCTCAATAAGATCATTTGTGTCATCCAGACACACCAACATCTGCCAAACTTTGGCTCTCAGTGGCTCAGGAACACCCTGACATTAAATACAATGTAAACATACTAAAAACTGTATGTATATGATGAGGTTACAACAAGTGAGCATTAGATCGTGATGAATTACCTGTTTTCGTATAAGTTTTTTTAAGTGCTTCGGACGATTTTCAACATCTCTCCATTTTGTCATTATTTCAGACCAATTATCTAATTCTTCAGATGAACATTCACGAAGAACTTCACCAGATCCTGACATTAATGGTTTATCAGTAGCATCGTTATCATCGTCTACGTCATCATCTTTATGAACGTAAATGAATCGTCATTAAACACACGATCTTATTAAACAAAGAATAAAACAGGAGGGATTTAGGGAAGAGTTGCGAAGGGCTGCAAGTTTCCAAACTGAATACTAAAACAAAAAAAAATTAAGGAAAAATAAATTTGATTTTTTATAGGTGGGCATACTTCCAAAAATCTCCCAATTATAAAATTCTTACCAAATTTAACAAAAATTTTAGACATGCAAGGTCAACAAGTAGCCACTAAAATTTAATCCAAACTAGAGCACACCTCCCTAACCCCAACAAACACACACACAATAAACCATTGTGGATTAATCCCTGGAATAAACACTGATAATTTTGTTCAGTCTGTAAGAATAAAATGTGAAAAAACATAAAATTTCATAATAATTTAACATAATTATACCTGGATGAGATGTTAATATTTCTTTGATCTCGTGGTGTTGTGTTGAGCATTTAAGACTCAAAACTTCATAAGATTTCTCACTTTCCTTATCATCTTTTGCCTGCAGACAAATGTGGCAATCACTGTAGTAGTATGTACAAAAACAAAACTTGGTATTTGTGAATGTAAAACTTTGAAAAGAGTGTGCATCATAAAACAAACCATTTTAAGTTCAAGAGTATACTGTTCTTTAATCTTTGGACGACTTGGATTCCAGAACCTTTCATTGGATGGAAAGACTTTAATGCCAAGCTCTTTAAGAAAGCGGACAGGTTTACTGATGCCTGATACCACAAAATCAACAGCTACAGTCATGTGTACAACAAAATCTATAAAAATCAAACAAAACAATGTTTCATCATCTAGAGGAGATATATCCTAACAATAACTTTTACAATTACATACTTTTCTTTGTCTCGGTGTTCAACACTAAAGTATCCTCTCTTTCTGGGTCCCAGATTCCCGAAACAAGATATGTACGGCCATTGTCAGTGCTTTCCATGGAAACCTAAACAAAAATATAAATAGATCCATACTTTTAACAGAAATCGATAGACAAAACACCAAAAATTCTCTATTCTAACTTTTTCCAGTAAGTTCATGTCAGACTGAGTTACGTTTCGACCAGGACAAATTAAAACACCAAAACACCTGCCAAATATAAAGAAATCATAAACTTAAATTAATGAAACAATCATTACAATCTAAAAAAAAATCTAACCTTTCCATTATTAGTAATCGATTAGACAACTGGTTTAGCTGAATGTGAATTTGTTTGTGAACACAACGGCGGAGCTTAAAACAAGTTTTATCTCGAGGTACAGAAAAATATGATCCTTTACCATCATCTTCCAGAATGTCAAAGACAAGATCAAATTTATAGACCAATCCAGATGGTAACTATGAAAAAGAAATTACAACAAAATTAAAACAATGAATATCATAAGAAGACAATTTTTTCAGTTCAACTTTTTACCTTTTTCTTGTTGTTAAAAGATTGTGCAAATCTTGCTAGAATATTTGCTGGCTATAACGGAGATAAAGTAAATGGTTTGAACCCGGGAGTATTGTCGCATGTTTGTAAATGTAGATTGTCCAGGTTGGTATAGTCCTGAGAAGGACTGTTTTTGTTGTTGTTGACTGACATTTCGACAACCTTAGCTGTAGTCATCTTCAGAGTCAGCAACAACAAAAACAGTCCTTCTCAGGACTATACCAACCTGGATGATCTACATTTACAAACATATAATGGACTGAATTGTTAAGAATGAAACTATTTGCCATGAATGACATTATGTACCTGGGTAGACTCTTGACATAATTTCCTTCTCTCTGGCCTCCCACTGACAAACAATTTCAGGATCGTACTTCACTAACAAACAAGTCAAGTTAAAGATTTTCATATTAAAAACGAAACAAAATCTTTCTCGTGTATCAACCACTTATGTAGGGTTATAACTTTGAAATAGTTTCAAAATGAAACGTTTTGGTCAATATCATGAATTAAAAAAGATATTATCGCGCTAAACGTACAGATCTTGTCTCTCTTTAACACTCCGAATATATCAACTTCACCAAGTACAAATGAAATGCTATGATAAGGAATGCAATAAAGGCCCAAAATGTTGCAGGTAGATATGTCTGAGATTGTTTGCTTTGAAAACGAGTATCTAAAACAAAAAGATAAATAACGACGAACTAGGCACCTTTGAAAATGATGTTATGTATAATAAAAAGAAACCTTTCCAAGCTTGTTGAATGAAGTCCATATTCTTGAGGGTAAACAGATGACTTTCATTCTTTGATATATACAGCAACGGTGTGACGGAGAGGTTATTTTTACTGGAAACGTCATTCCAGCTGAACTAAGTAAAGAAAAGATGTTAAAAAGCACGAATTTCAATAAAAAAAAGGAAGTAGAGAAACACTCAACGCTGAATATTTTGATCTTTTAGATAGTAAAACACAATTTTATAGGATTAAACAATGCATCTCATTGCTAAACTTACCTTAACAGGTGGAAATTGGCAACCTGCCTCGCAGGCAAACAACGTGTCCTGTTTTTTTTCCGCCCTAACCTTAATTTCTGCGGCTTGTGATAATTGTTGACCAACTAATACTTGAAAATCGATAAAGTTTCCATAACATTCAATATGATGAAACATAATATTCGTTTGTAATGTGGCAGGATTTGCAGCAAATTCCAGATGATCAGAAGCAAATGTAAAACCGCCAAAACTTAAAACCATTGCTTGATGAAGATATACAGGTCCTAAGTATTGAAAGTTCATTAGTTATATAATGAAAAAAGTTTGAAGATCAATTTCTAAATAAATTGTACCTCGATCAAAAATTATTCACATCCCTGCGTTGTCAATACAGTTTTCCATTTCATGGCAATATCACTAATGTCAGTTTCTGAATAAGGACTCTTCCATAGCAAGGCCGTGTGCCTGTGACGTAGTAATGAGGAAACTCGCATCTTATTGGAGTATCTGGATGACGATGAATCGCAGATGAAACCTTCGTAAAATAGAATCGACAACTTTTTTTAGTTTCTAGAAAAAAGGAAAACGTCATGTCAGTTCAATAAATACATGCAAAGTGAAGAATAAGCAACGTTTATTCTTCACTTAGCAAGCCATGTTTACTAAGCAACAAAAACAAGATCACTATATAATTCTGAACTTTAAGATCGTTGACGCTTTTCATAAAGTTTGCGGGCTCACTAAATGGATAGCGCAAACCATATATGGGCGCAGCACCATTGCCACACCCAGTGCTGGGGGACCAAGTTGTCATTTTAATAGTAGGACATCTTTGAGGGGTATGCAAATTGTGCAACCTATTTTGGTTACGGCAAGAATTTGGATTTATTTCTGTGTTGCATTGCAAAAATTATGGATAAAATTGCTTGTTTAAAAAATCTAAATACTAGCTAGGGAATATTTATTTTAAGCCCACTAGTAAGAAATTCTATTCTTTTTTCTTGATTATAAAATGATAAATAATAGAAGAATATAATCATTGCTGACGAAATTTTCTTTTTTTCTCTGTAGATTTATTTCATCCATTGTAAATGAAGTAATGGAAAAATTAACTGGTCATTTCATTTTACAAACGCAGGCTCGTAATTTCGCACGTGTACTCACTGTACTGTTCACAGGAAAACAAGAATGAAAGTCAAGAGGAAAACAAAAATGTTTTTTGGATAGTGAACGTATAATAACTAAAAATGTCCGTTGGAAATGTTGATCATGACTCTAAATTTGTAAAAAACGACGAAAATTCACGTTATCAAGAAAGAAATGAGTGGGAACGAAAACCATATCAGATAACATACGAAGTGTTTGTTGGCCGAATTCCTGGCGAGTGGACTTCGGTATGTAATTGTATTATTTAGTGCATAATGATTGTTGTTTTATGTGAATATGAGGTGAATGTCGAATTAATTGATTTATTTATTAATATACATTCACATATATTCAAAAACACATGCATCCAAACATAAATATAATTCTAGTTGAGACTTAAAGTTAAATAAAGAATGAAAAAGGGACATAGATGTTGTATTTTTGAAGGAAATGCCCAAGTTATTATTTTGTTTGAAAGCAAGATTGTCAGGTTTATTCTTGCACAAGTTTGTATTTATTTTGATGCAGGACAAGTTGAGAGAAATTTTTGAACCATATGGAGAAATCAAATCAATTGACTTAAGACCAGGAGTAGAATCATTCCATGGATACCAGTATGCGTGAGTGTAGTGTCTCAAGATATTGTTTTATCAACTATTGGAACTATTTTAGATAGTTTTGTTGTATAAGAAATTATTCTCGATGTCTTTCATTCTCTTACTTATTAATTGTGTGCACACTGCAGGTTTGTTCGATTTCCTAAAGAAGAAATGGCTAAATCAGCAGTAGACTCGCTTTCATGTAACCCAATTGAAAATGTAAATTTACAGGTGTGTAAAATGTATCTTTACTTAAATATAATTTTCATTTGAAATCATTCATTCTCATTTTATTAAATTTGGAATCATTGGCTTTATATTGATGTAAATAAATTTTTTTTTAAACTGCAATCAGACACAGGAATTACAATATTCTTTAATGTTATTACTAAAAAAAGGTTTTTTTATATGTCATTTGGCTGTTGTTTTTCTTGCTTTTTACACTTTGTACAAAGTAATGTTACTATCAGACACAAAGTAACTTCAAGATAGTTTTTATTTTATCAAATCCAATACAGTGATATGTACTTGAATGCTGTAGGCAATTCATGATTTCAAGACTTTTATTTGATTGTTTGAATTTTAGATAAGTCTTGGTCAAATGAGAAATTGCAACAAGGATTATAAGAAACGGTTTGTGATTGCATAGTCTTTCATGGAAATCATTCTCAACATTTGCATTTTTTATTGATGATATTTTTGCTGATGTTCTAGCTGATGTGCATTTCCAGATATTTGGTTTACTGTTTAAGCAATTGCATTGTGACTGTGTTCTTCATTTGCTATACATAATAATTAATTATCCAGTCAAAAATCACATGGGTCAGGTTAAAGTCTTTATTTTATATGTTTTAGGCAAGGCTTTTCAGACTTAAGTCACCATAGCAAAAAGACATTTTTTCAACAAAAGCGACCCAAAAATGAGTATAGACGTGGCCAAGGCCAACAGAATTATGCTCAAAATGAACAAATGGATTATGGTGGTAGCCACGGGCCTTTAACATCACCATCACAGAAATATGAGCGCTTCAGAAGTCATGAAATTATTGTAAGAGGACAAAAAAATAATTGAATTTACCATCTCTACTCTAAAATATGAACTGATGACATTTTTCTGTGTAGGCTGAACAATAGAGAATAATGAATGAACAATAGAGAATGAAATCTTTATACTACCTAAAACAGTTGCAACACACTAGGAGTAGGAGCTAAACCACCTAATAATTTTGAAATCAAACCTTGCACCAGATACCACAAATGTCATCTATACTATGATGTAACTGTCATGTCAAAGAATGGCTATTTGACCGACTTCTATTCTATACTTTTTTCAACCTTTAAACAATTTGTACTTTTTGTACTGGTTAGGATGTTCTGGGAAGTCTTGTGCCTTGGGATGAGCAGTGTGCGAATTAACGGTGTGCAATGTGCAATTTGCACATCGTTTTAGCTAAAATGAAAACAATTGCACATCACTTTTTCAAACGATGTGCAAAAATCTGCGGTTGTAACGAAAAACACTGTTGTAAATCATGAATTTGTTCACGTTTAAAAATATTAATTTAGCAATTAGTGCTATATAATAAATAACGTAATTATCGATTTGATTATGTCTCTAAAGAAACACTTTTATCAAAAAAATTGCACATTGTTTTTCTGAACTAATTTGCACACTGATGAGCCTCTCTTAGTGATGAATGAACAACAGAGAACAAGAACAGTCTTTACACTACCTAAAATATAAACTAAGGTAACATGTGTCAGTGTAGGTGGTGATGAATGAACAACAGAGAACAAGAACAGTCTTTACACTACCTAAAATATAAACTAAGGTAACATGTGTCAGTGTAGGTGGTGATGAATGAACAACAGAGAACAAGAACAGTCTTTACACTACCTAAAATATAAACTAAGATAACGTGTGTCAGTGTAGGTTGTGATGAATGAACAACAGAGAACGAAGATAATCTTTACACTACCTAAAATATAAACTAAGATAACGTGTGTCAATGTATTTAGTGATGAATGAACAACAGAGAACGAAAACAGTCTTTACACTACCTAAAATATAAACTAAGATAACATGTGTCAGTGTAGGTAATGATGAATGACCAACAGAGAACGAGAACAGTCTTTACACTACCTAAAATATAAACTAAGATAACATGTGTCAGTATAGGTAATGATGAATGACCAACAGAGAACAAGAACAGTCTTTACACTTCCTAATATATAAACTAAGATAACATGTGTCAGTGTAGGTAATGATGAATGACCAACAGAGAACAAGAACAGTCTTTACACTTCCTAAAATATAAACTAAGATAACATGTGTCAGTGTAGGTGGTGATGAATGACCAACAGAGAACAAGAACAGTCTTTACACTACCTAAAATATAAACTAAGATAACATGTGTCAGTGTAGGTAATGATGAATGACCAACAGACAACAAGAACAGTCTTTACACTACCTAAAATATAAACTAAGATAACGTGTGTCAGTGTAGGTAATAATGAATGAACAACAGAGAACGAAAACAGTCTTTACACTACCTAAAATATAAACTAAGGTAACATGTGTCAGTGTAGGTGGTGATGAATGAACAACAGAGAACAAGAACAGTCTTTACACTACCTAAAATATAAACTAAGATAACGTGTGTCAGTGTTGGTTGTGATGAATGAACAACAGAGAACGAAGATTAGCGAGGACTTTCATAGATAAAAGTTGTCTTTGTCATACCATGAAAAGGAGAGTGAAAGAGTTCTGGCACATTGATTGAAAAAGTGATCCTGTATATATATTTCTCAACAAGAAATGTAGTTATGATTCTCATCTATACATACTAATTTCCTAATTTACTCTGTGTCCTTTGATAAAAGTTTATAATGTTGATTTAAAATAAAGAATATCTGAATTATTTTTGAAGTCATTCTTTATATAATCAATGCATGGAAACAGCCATTAAAGATGGTTTTGGGACATCAGTATGTAATAGAGACAAGATCCTCTGTTAGAAGTAAGTGAGCAAGCACTTTAATGCTTAGTGTAGGTTCTACAAAACCAAAAAAATGTTGTCCTTCTATATTTAAAAAGAGAAATTTCAGAATTCTACTCTTCCAAAGTAAAGAATGGACTTCACTTATCCTATGTGGAGTGACCTTGTAGAAAGAGTGGTCAAAACATTGAATCAAAGTAATTTTTGTGTTTAGTGAGTCTAATAGCCTGATAGCAATACTTTTAAAACTTTATTTTTGATCTTGCATCACTTAAAGTAGGTTAATCAGAAAAGCATGTACTTTATGGAATCTGTAACATAGCTGTAAGCTGCTAAATACGGTGGCCGGTACGGGTCACCAGAAAATAATTTAGAAAACATAACAAACAATAAGAAAACATCACTCAAAATCATACTACACATTTCAAAATACTCACTACACATTTCAAAATACTCGCTACACATTTCAAAATACTCACTACACATTTCAAAATACTCGCTACACATTTCAAAATACTCGCTACACATTTCAAAATACTCACTACACATTACAAAATACTCACTACACATTTCAAAATTCTCGCTACACATTTCAAAATTCTCGCAAACATTTCAAAATTCTCGCTACACATTTCAAAATACTCGCTACACATTCGTCCCAGTCTTACCCTGGTCTGGCCTGCCCACGGTCGTCATTAGTTTACATCTACGAAATTGACGTGATGGCAGAAAGCTAATATAAATATACGCTTCCGATATTACTAACAGTTCAGTTCGCGTAAGGATATTTTGATGATATTGTGGCGATATGTTTTCTATGCGGAATTCGGCACATAGACAAACATATCGCCACAATAGCATCAAAATATGCGATACGCGTACATGAACTATTAGTAATATTTCTTCCAGGGATTTCTTGGTCTTGTTTAGACAACACAACATGAGTGGTCAATCTACAGATTACATGTAATTGTATTTGTATTGGTGATATTCGACAATCATTAGTTTAACTAATGCACTTATTGACGTGACTGGTATTGAAGTTCTAAATTTATTGCGTTTACTCGAAATTACCGAACTTTTCATTTTCTTTGGCGTTTCTTGTGCAACAAATTATAGCACTATGTGTAAATTTCCTCTTTGGTTTCCTTGTTATTTTTGTAACGCATCACACAAGTACGTACGCGACACAGCGAATGCAAATTCATATACTCAATTTTTTGCTATTAAAGTACGGACATGTGTCGAAAGCCACTGCAAATACATTTGCTGGCGATATGTAGATCGTCTAATAATGTTGTTGCCCGACCAAGTCCAGCAAAACCCTGGAAGAATTTCTGATTAGAGTTGAGCCAATATTTTCATGCTATTATCCCAATGTCCCACTTTGTTTGCCTTGTGAAATGCGGAATTATATATTTGATATGCTTACTTTATGATGTCATGTCAGTTTCGTAGATGGAAACTAATGATGACCGTGGGCAGGCCAGACCAGGGTAAGACTGGGACGAATGTGTAGCGAGTATTTTGAAATGTGTAGCGAGTATTTTGAAATGTGTAGCGAGAATTTTGAAATGTGTAGCGAGAATTTTGAAATGTGTAGTGAGTATTTCGAAATGTGTAGTGGGTATTTTGAAATGTGTAGTGAGTATTTTGTAATGTGTAGTGAGTATTTTGAAATGTGTAGTGAGTATTTTGAAATGTGTAGCGAGTATTTTGAAATGTGTAGTGAGTATTTTGAAATGTGTAGTATGATTTTGAGTGATGTTTTCTTATTGTTTGTTATGTTTTCTAAATTATTTTCTGGTGACCCGTACCGGCCACCGTAGCTAAATGTTTGTTCTACAATTTTTACATTTATCTTAGGCCTATGCATAATGATGTGCCTATTTAAAAGCTTATTAACAAAAAATTCTTTAGTGGTAATGATCAATTTCTTACCAAGCTTTAGTGTTTAAGGAAAAATTTATGGAAAGATGCGTTGCTATCCTTCGAAAAGTGAAGTTGCGCACGATTTAACCATGAGTTCTTAACACTGACAAGATTTAGGTCTAAAACAGGCTTCTCCTATGTTGATACATAAGTGCAAAGGTGACAGTTTAGGTTTGCTTCCAAAATTTTCGACAGAATTCTTCATTTAAAACTTACATTTTACTTGGACTTTATTAAGAGTCTCGCCTTTTTGCCACCTTTCAAGATGGCGCCCGTAAATAAATTTGCCTCACCATGACAACGGCGTGAGGGAGTGAGGCAAGGAGACACCTTGTCACCAGTGATGTTTACAGCAGCGCTGGAAGAAATATTCAGTAGAATGGAAGTTGAAGTGGGAATTAACATCAATGGAGAGAGGATGAACAACCTGAGATTTGCAGATGATATCATCTTATTTGCTGAAAAGGAAGAACACCTCAGCAAACTTTGAACGATCTGAACGAAGAAGGGAGGAAAGATGGAATGAAAATGAACAAAAGAAGACAAAGATCATGTGCAATGAAATAGCAAAGAGAAAAAGGAGAAAAAGGAATATCGATTGATGGAGAACGGCTGAAAGAGGTTGAAGAGTACAAGTATTTGGGAAGACTACTGTGTCAAAAGGAAGATCATGGACACTGTCATACCAGCAATGACTTATGGAGCAGAGACGTGGGCACTTACCAACCATCAAAGAGAGAAACTGGCAATCACCCAAAGAAGTATGGAAAGATCAATGCTCGGTGTCACGAGGAGAGATAAGATCCGGAATGAAGACCTGAGAGCAAGAACAAAAGTGAAGGATGTCATCGAGAAAGTTAATAAAGCCAAAGGAAAGTGGGCAGGACATCTAGCCCGAATGAAAAATCATGAATGGGCAAAGAAAACAACCGAATGGACCCCGTGGGACAAGAAAAGAGGCAAGGGAAGACCAAAAAGGAGATGGAGAGATGACATCGAGCAGAGAGCGGGCAGCATGTGGACCCAGAGAGCCCAAGACCGTAAAGAGTGGAGAAAGATGTGGAGGCCATCCGCCAGCAGTGGCGTGACAGGCTGATGATGATGATGATGATGACAACGGCAGTTAGATCAAAGAGTTCCGCACAAAAAAAATGGCGACATTCAAAATTGAAGGAGTGAGGAATTTTGAAATTCAACCGCGAAATACTAAAAAACTGCAGCTTTTTAGAAGTAACAATAAAAAGAATATCAAACAGCAAGTGACTTTCTATCTATTTTGAAAATTTTGCGACCTTCCTTGAGGTGTCCAACGAAACTCATTTTTAAAGCATATTTTTGAGGCACAGATCACGGCCTATGTGAGGAGAGAAGGTGTTTGAAGATGTGTGAGTTTTTATCACTGGAAATGATAAAAATGACGCATTGTTTCGCCAATATAGCGACAATTACATGCCGCACAAGTAAATTGATGTACTACCCCGGATTTAAGATTAAAGGGAATTTAATCTTTAAAACTGAAAAGATTTTTAATTATGTAGGGCATAAAAATTAATTTGATTTCAAAAGGTACGCAGTATCGTTTGATCAATATAGTTAATCGCTTTTGAGTGATTTTAGAGAAATATCCTATATACGGAAGTTTAAAATATCGTATGGTGTTAGTATCATTAGTTGAGATAGACCGCCAAAGACTGCTCAAAGACTGCCAAAGACTGCCAATCGTTTGGAGTATTTCCCAAGTTTCTATGCTTTCCATTACCTGGAGTTTAAACCAAGACACATACGCTATACGTAAACGACTTCTGAGGTCTTCCATCATTAAACGCTTACGAGAAGTGCGCAAGTTAAACTATGACCGTACGAAGAAATCTAACGAATTAAAAAACATTATGAACTATCTGGATTGGACGATACTTAACAAATCTTTGAAAAGAGACGTAGACAAACAAGTTGACAAACAATTGCTGACCCACCGGAGAAAGCTGAAGAACTGACAATAAACGTTGTTCTGCCGTTTACTCACAAGGAAACCGTCACAAACTTATCCTCTCACCAACTCAAAGAGCATAAGTTAGAATTATTAAAGAATGGTCTAGGTTTTTCCATCAAACCTCCTAAAGTGAATCAAACTGACATACTTGCCACCTTTGAATGCATCCAAATGTGGATGACATTTTTGCATGTTTCACACAAAACAAGGATGCCGTCTTATTTTTCAACTTTTTAAACCTCAACACCCTAATATCAAATTTACTCCTGAATACGAATCTAACAACCAAATTTCATTTCTTGACATTTTGATCACCGAATTCCCAAACAAATGTCGGCTTGTAATAGTCGCTATATTGGCGAAACAATGCGTCATATTTCTACCAGGATGAATGAGCACATTTCCAGTGATAAAAACTCACACATCTTCAAACACTTTCTTTCCTCACATGACTGCAAATCACAATACACCAACAACTGCTTTACAATTATCGACACTGACAATTATTCTTCCACCCTCAGAATTAAAGAAGCCTTACACATTAACAAACTTAAACCCGATCTCAATAAGCAAGTTCCCCACGTAAATACCATTTTTAGTTTGTAAATACTTTTTTTCCTCATTTGTGTGTGTTGGTTGTGTCTTGTATTGACTTTCGAACACTTGATGCTGCATGAGAACCAGATGCACATCAGCAATGATAAAAATAATTTTTCAAAAACATCTGACGGAATTGAAAAATACGAGCCAGTCGGTATCAATAATTTGCCGAAGAAAATGTCCATACGTTGAAGTTAAAAATCAACAGAGTTGAGACATGTTTCCATGACTACTACTAATAAGTATGAGTAATAGCATAGTTTCTCGGAAGTCATGGACTCGTAAGTTTTTCAAAGACTTCAAATCTTGAAAAACTCATTCGTAAATGTTTTTTTTCCTAATTGCACTCAAAACCATGCTGTTGCCTTTTGTACATTTGGCAAATATCATAATCTACTAAAAGTACATTAGTGAAAGAGTTAAAAGTGAAAAAATAAATGTCCTCCCACTAAGTCAGTGAACAAGAAATTTATTGAGTAAAATTCAACGTCCCACATGAAAAGTTCATTCTCGTATTATTCCCCCCCTCCCCCACTTTTAAAGTAGCTCCGCAATCACTGGTATGTGGTCAAGTCAAACTATAGAGTCAGACGAAAATGTAGTTGAGCCTTATTTGGGGTCGGACATGCCGTTTGACTAAACGAAACTCACCGTTTCCCTCGGGAGCATGCATTAAGTGTATATTCAGCTATGTTGTTAAGAAAAATTTTCAATGAATAACATAGAAAGAGTGAAATATATTTTATGTGCACAAAAATATTGCTAAACTATCTATTACTAAGTCTACACTGCCCTTAGTTCAAATAAAGTTTGCGTTTAAGCATACACGTAATTAAAATTAAGCAATAATTTATAAACAAATGCTTGGACTGACTAATGCCGGCCCAAGTTCAAACTGTCCAAACTTTGACATGTCATTAATCTTTACTAGCTTCGTATTCTTCGCATGTACTAAACATCTCATGAGCAGAATCACCACATTTCCTGCACAAACGAAAATTACAAGCAGGACATAAAAACACACTTGGACTTTCGCTTACTTCGTAGATCCACGAGCAATCAATGGTAGGGCATGATTTGAAGTTAGGATTGTCGATCAAGAAACATTCCAGAGATACCTTGCATAACTTTCCAATATCTTCTGTTTTTAATATGGCAATGTAATCGTCTTTGACCACGCTGGAAGTGCAATTCTCTTTGAGACACTGAAGAGGGAATTTGTTTTTCGTTCTCCCAGAACTTAACACGTCATAAATATAATATGTTATACAAATTAAACAATAGCTATGTTTGCAGTGTGTGAGGGTAAAGCTGGTTTCAACGTTTGCCAAACATATAGGACAACAAGTTTCAGGAATTGAAAATTTTTTGGAATTATTTGACATAGAGTCAAAATACTTTGCCAGTTTTCTCTGCATGTTGAGAATGGAAAGTTTGCTACCGCTAAATACAAGTTTTCGTCGTTGTACGTCTAGCGATGCCACACAATTCTCGTCTTCAATAAGTTTGAAAAAATCATTTCCAAACTGCTTTAATATTTTTCTGATGGTACCCACAGGTCGCTCGGAAATGCTTAAGTCAACTTCGACCACGTCTGTTTCACGATTGCTGTCAAATTCTTCGATTAATTTCATAATCATTTCAGTGCAAGTGCGAAGTTGCGAAGTGGGAAAACCAGTAATCTGAATTCGTCGACCATAATCACAGCTGTAAATGCTGACTTTGTTTTTCTTCTCAATAAACGCGAGTCTTTTGCGACCAAGACCGGAGAAAAAATAACGGGCTGTGACCGGATCATCGATTATTATAACCTCTGGTTTCATCAACTCAAAGGTATTTCGCTTGGCAGCTGGAGCAATCTACAAAAAAAAACAAGAATTTTGACTAAAGCTTAATAGGAAACTGATCATATGCTCTAATTAGTAATCATTGTAACGCTAACTTGTACTTCAGAAAACTGTTGCATTTTGTACTAAGCATTGCGACTGGGGATCCAATGATAGTGCAAGTCACAAAAAACTACTATACTTATGACTTGCAGTTTGAATCAACCATAAAATGTTTCATACATTTATTTCATTTCATTTTCCCTAGCCCATTTAATTTTGATTCGTGTATCGCGAGGTAAATATTCATTGACTTCATGACCAATCAATACATTTCTATAGTAAAACCTATCTACATAACTGTTGTCTTGTTTCCACGGTTAAGTGATTTCTTTGGATGTATAAATAAACAAACAACTTACATAATTTACTTTTAGAAATGTACGGGAAACTGACATGGTAACGATATTTCTAATGCTATGACTGAAGGAATGCATTAACCCACATCTGTTTTACTGAAAGTAGTCAAGACCAGATGACTCATCTTACCCTTCATAAGAAGGTTTCTTTTTTCGACAGTTAATTCAGTATCTCATACCTCATAGAGTCTGGCCAAAAAATCCGACGTTCTGTTTACTTCAGACACAAACGTTTGCGCACTGTCCATGTTCACAAATACAACAAAAGCTTCGACTTTTTTGTTGTTTATAGTCCGGATACTTTGCAACTTTGCGGATGAATAATTCATTAGCAACTTCGTCAGTTTCGTTTTCTCCTTTTCGACGTTGAAATGACACAATGGCTTTGGTGGGATTCTTATTTTAGTCACTCCCTCCAAAAGTGTAGGGCCACAACATTTCTTTAAAATTTCTCTCACCGTTCTCTTGTTGGCGTTTTCAATAATAGGAAGACATATATCACCAACGTCCGTCCTTTTCGATGCTCCCGAAGACCCTGAAAGCGGTGGTCTCATATTTTGCACTAAGCTCTTTAATATTTTCTGCAGAATGTCTTCATTTTCACATTTGACGAATGCAAACCTTTGGGCAGGAAGCGGAAACCAGCTCACAATAACAGTTGAACGCACAGAGGACGCAGAATAGCTGTGGGAGGGGAGCACTCAGCATGAGTAGGTTCTAAGCAAAGACCTTTAACGTTTTGACCAGCAAAATCTTCAGAACCTATGTAATCTTTCAGTGGCTGGATGAACACACTAGCCTTCTTGGCTTCCTTACTGCTACAATATGTAACAGTTCCCCAGTGATAAAAAGTATTATCATTGGACGGTCTGTGATAGCAACATGTGTTAAGAACTTTACCATAGTTTTTGAGAGTTGCAATTAATTTCTGGGCATCCACCTACATAAAATGTAAGAGTTGGTAAAACTTTGGAAAATAGTAAAAATAAATTAGCTTAAACCTCAAATTTGGCGTCAAAAAGACCAAGTATTTTTAATCCCTAAACACCTTCACATATTTATATGAATGGTACTAACTTCAAAAAATGATAAAAACAAACCCCTGCATTAAGATCAACTTTTCTCAAAAACACATCAAACTTGCAGCAGGCTTCTGGTTGAAGGATGGATTCCGTTCGTAAGGCATTGGACAGAAGCAATTTTATTCCTCCTACGTTGAAAACGGAGACTTCAAAATGATCCAGATACTGATTACGCTTCACGTAATTAACATCATTTCCACTGACACCATAAACATGACCAGGATAAGCGTTTCTAATTTCAGCATGCGTAGTGTCCACTCTTTTTCCGTTCGAGACTGGTTCCTTAACGCTTTTAGCACGCGATTTTTTGCATCCAATAGTATCGTTAGCATGTTTGGTACGCTGTCGATTAACGGGAGATTTTGAGGCAAACGGCATATCAACATAACCAGAAACTTCTGAAAGCCAGTCAAATTCAATCGGAGTGACGTTTTCCATGAACACTGTCTTACTATTTTTGTATAGTTTTTGGTACATCACATATTTGGGCTCATCACCAAGCAAAGATAACACAGATGAAGGGTGAATCTTTACGTTAACTTTTGACACATATGTAATATAGTCACCATCTTTATTATCACACAGCAGTTCTCGGGATATCCTGCCAGTAAACTTTTACACAGCGATTTACGTACATCATCAGTGGTGACTTCAAACTGAAGATTAGGTCGTTTGACCAATAGAGCGTTCTTAATTTCTTTAAAACATTCACTGACAGAGCGAAGTAGCTTTGTATCTAAAGCATTCTGTTTGCAGAACAAAATCTTCTTTTTTTCGTGTCAAAGCCATCCACTTCTTAAAAATATTCACTGCACTCACAAGGTCACCACTGCTAAAACAAAATTGTTTTTTGAAAAGCACAGTCCTCATTCCCATGAACCGTACCTCTGCAAAACACATTATGACCACGATAAAATAAAGCAGCCGCAATGACAGCGTCATCTCCACATCCTCGTTCCAGTCCCTCAAGCAATGCCTTCGACAATCTTGGTTCAGTAGGTAGTTGAAGTATTTCATTGCCAATATCAGTCAAAGTTCCATAACCGTCAATAGTACCTAATGATTTTAGGTTTTTCAAAGCCATCTCAAGTGATTCTGGAGGAGGACTTTCAACAAAGTCGAAACTTTCAACATTTTCACGCCAAAACTTAGCAATTGAAGCACAGCAAACTCAAGATTCACATTCGAAATTCCTGGTGTTGAGCTTTTTTCCATTTTGTTGTAATCATATTTTGTGAAGAGGCAGTAGCATTTACCTGGACCAGTCAGACCTAAAAAGGGGAACCTCAATCAAATTTCTTTTGAAAGAGTAATTCATGAATGAGGTAATTCTACTGATTATCTTCGACAGCTTTTCTCAATACATGCTAATGAAATGTATGAATTACGAAATAACAATCGCGTTCTCAAGTTGCCTAAACGAAAAATAAATGCCTTAAAACGTAGCTTTGCATATAGCAGAAACTTGGAATAGTCAATTGAAGACAAAAGAAAATATCAATTGCATGCATAAACTTTATAGATTTAATATTTTATTTGTAAGTAGCTTATAGTTTTTTCATTATACATAGACATAGTATCCTTTTTAATTTTTTTTTATCACACGGCTATCTGAAAATCAACCTTTTTATTTTTTATAGGTAGTTGTATTTTAGGATCCAGCGTGTTTAAAAAAGTGTAAATAATACTAAAAATAATAATAATAATGCTCCAATCTGGATAGAAAAAAACATAAACATTCCTTCATTCTACAAGATAGGTGACAAAGAATTACATGAGTTTGTAGAACTTTGCTCCTATATAAGGCTTGGTATGTATGTCCATTTCAATGTGAAGTGAAAATTCATATCAGAAAACAAATATGCAGTTCTAAACCATTAGTCTCTAGGAAACACTTTACACATTATTTGGAATATGTTCATTAAAGTTAATTAGAAAGCAAAGTCATATTCATGTTGTTGATTTCGATTTCAAGAATGCATTTTCTAACCGTTAACAATGTGAACAAAATGTCACATATTCATAACTATCCATCCAAGACTTTTTGGATGACAAGAACTTGTGGTGACAAGAACTAATCGGGCCGGGGGAAACAAACTATTGAATAACCAAAAATTAAGACACATTAAAAGCCAATATATCGCATTTGAATGGCATCTTGTCTAAATAAATTTTGCTCTATTTTGGGGAACTGTTCCACTTTCAAAATTGGTCATTAGAGTGAGGAGTATCGCTTCAGTTAGGTGAAGTAACAACGACAGCTTTCAACAACCCAAGGGTATCCAAATACTTATTAAAAAAGAACGACCCTAGATCTCCTTTAAATTAAAAGAGTTTCAACTATTTTGTCAAAGAGTTGGTAATAGCTTTAAATTACATTATAATTTATAGACAAACCATGTACCTGCCCTGCTAGCTCGTTGTTTGGCTGAATTCTGGTTTACAAGTTGTGCTTCTAATGTTGTCATGTTATTTAATGGATAAAAAGAGGCCTCCATCTTCATTCCTGAATCAATGACAATTTTTATACCAGGAACCACCATCCATGATTCTGCAATGTTTGTTGCAACAACAATCTTTCTTTTTTCCCTCCGGCGTTGTCTCAAATACCTTGAAGAAAATTTACTGGTAAGGGACTGCATAAATGCAAAGAAGTGGAAATGGTTAAAGAGTGAGAGAGTGTCAAGAAAGTATGTAGCATATGAAAAAGCAGCTAACAACAGAATAATTTAGTCACAAGGGTGTTGCTAGTAATTTAGAAGTGACTGGTAAATAGTAAACAATTGGGGATTAATCAATAAGTAAGCAGATTATTTGGGAACTTTGCTTAAGTAATAATTTGGTAAAGTGTAGTTGTACAAGTGCAATTTCAAATTGCTATACAGTTTATGAAAATTCTGCTGCTCTTTACCACACAGAATCGGGTAAAAAAAGCAAGTGGCAAAAATTGCACTCAGCGTTAAAAACAACTAATGTTATTATAAAACTTCAATGAATTTAAAATAAAGTTTAACCAGAACTTAAGTACATAATTTTGTAATTTTTAATCAAAAGATACTTTGCTTGCATCTCTGATTAAAATGGTCCCAAATCCTTTGAAAAATTTTGTGTTTTGCATGCATAAATACATGAAGATCAAGAAAAACACACACAAAATCATTGCTCATATCATAGAGAACTCTGAGGTCATAGACCTTAAATTTCTTTGTAGTTCCAAATTGAAATCAGGTAATGCATTAATGAATTAAAAAGTACTTGCAAGACTTTGCCGTGTCAACTGGTATTGAATTCGCATGCTTAGAGAAAGTTGCCATTATTTATAGACTACCATAATTACATAGAGCAAACTGCAAGGAGATGAAATTATCAAAAAACAAAATCAAGGCATTAGCGAATTTCAATAACACTGAATGTTTTCTGATCAGTTTCTTTTAGTCTTTATTAAATCATTTGCATGAAAGTGAATGGAGCATAGACACATACATAACATATACATATGCATTTTACCTTGGACTTTTGATCTAATTCAAGCTTGCCATAAAGAGGAAGAATAATATATTTGGCATCATCCAATGTCTCCTTCAATTTTTCACAGGTCTTTTCAATCTCATGAGGTTGAGCTAAAAACACCAAGATATCACCTCCTTCTCTAGATTGACAAACTTCAACAACTTTATCACAAACTGCATCAACATATCTAGGGAGCCTTTTTTCTGCATAAACAGTCTTGACAGGATATACTTTCCCTGGTACTGTTATTTTAGTGGAACCAGGAAAATAATCTTGAAAAACACAACTATTCTGCTGGGTTGATACAATAATAAGTTTTAGATGAGAAAAACACTGCAATGACTGCTTTAGCACTGCAAGAAGCATATCAACATCAACAGATCTTTCCTGAGCTTGGTCAATAATAATAACTGAGCATTGCTGAATAATTTCATCACCCTTGATTACCTCATTCAATAAATCCTTATGGGTGGCAAATTTTATTTTTGTTTTATCATTGACGCTAGAATTCACACAAATTTCATCACCAAGCTTACAAAGATATTTCATTTGAAACTTGCTTGGCTAAACCCAGAGCGGTAGATTTGTCAGGTTCGGTAACAAAAATTATCCCTTCTTTTGAATCCTCCTCAGCCAAATACTGAGCAAGCTGTGTACTTTTCTCTGATCCAGTTTCTCCGACAAGAACAACAACTTGAGTCGAGTGAACGGCTTCTGAAATCGTCGACCTCTTTGAATAGATCGGCAAACTAGCTTCAAATTTTCTAAATTCTCTTTCAACAACGATTTGATGAGACGTCACCAACTTTGAAATTTCATTACAAAAACCTTCAAATACCTTTTTATATTTTTTTTCAAATTCCTTGCGTTGCTCTATTAACTCTTGCTTTTTCTCCTGGGTTGCGTCGAAACGTTGTAAATCTTCGAATTTAGATTTCTTCTTTCGAGAATTTCTAGAAGATAACTGCTCAAGATCCTTTAATCTGTTCAAATTTCTTAAAAGTAACTGATAAGAGCGCCGTTGTAACGCTTCTACATGGTCCTGCAACTCTTTTTCGACAATTTCCCATTGTTTGTCAACTATATTTTCCGACCGCACAGAAATAACACTCATTGTCTATTAAGGATTAATGATATTTACTGCCACTAATTTTAAAAAATACAGATGTTTAACCAACAAATTATCAGAAAACGAAAAGCATGCTTCCGAGAATAAATGATAAATGTGGTCAGGGCATGGCAAGGTCATGTGAGGTGTAATATCCGCCAATACCAATTTATTCACATTTGAAGTTAAAAGTTTTCGTTATTAAGTGCTGTCATTTCACTATATTCTTTTAACTGCAATTTTGCAATGAAAACTCTCTTTTGTTGAGCATTTCATTTGGAGTAATTTCATTCGGCATGGATGTTATTTCATTCGGAATGGCACTCAGAAACCAATATTATTTGTGAACGGAAATGTAACACGGACACGTTCATTCACAACCAAATAAGGCAATATCATGGCCGTATCACACGCATGGCTGTAAATAAAATATTTATGTTAAAAATTTTAGCCTTGTCAATTAAACATATTGCTTAAAAACAATTTATAAATGCAACTAACTACCATCGTGTTTTTCAACTTGCATAAATGATGGTCTGGCATTTACATTTCTTAACATAACAGTAGTGGGAAAATATATTTCCATTTTAAAATGCTTTTAAGCAAATCCTATTGGTAGTATTTTGTTGTTTAAGCAATTTGTAGAAATTTCCAACAACAGCTGTTGGTTACAAATGGTATATGTGAAGCATATGGGAAGCTAACCAAAAACATTTGAGTTAGAATTAAAAAGCTACTAATATATTTAAATTTTCTGATTTCATCATTTTGCTTATGATTAGACTACAAGAAGTTAATGAAAAAAAGATTAACTTGGATCATAAGGCATGTGTTTTGAAGAAAATATAGCATACCTTGCTGTCATTGTTTATAAATGTGTTTATAAAACCTGTTTGCTTTACAGGAAGAACCGTTAAACATTGTGCACACTGTAAAGTGCGAAGATTGCAATGAGACCATGACAGTGGCTCAAACTAATGAACATGCACACATTGTTATAGCAAGACAGCTGACGTTTGTGAAAATGATAAAGGAAGGTAGATTTTGGTGTAACCAGTGGCAGAGACTAAGAAGATGGCAGCTGTCCTCTCCCCCCTTTAATTTTTTTTTAAAAATTTTAACCAACTTTAAAAAACGCAAGAACGTTTTCATTTCAGAGGTTTTCATATTAAATACAGTAATAAGCATGTAATTTAGCTAAGGGGGTGTTTACATGAATCCGGAATGAGTTTCGATCCGGAATGAACTCATTCCACTTTAAAAGAAATCCTATTGCATGTTTACATGAATCCGGAATGAGTCACAACTCGATCCGGATCGAGTTCATTCCTAGTTTCATTCCGGATCGAAATTTACTTTTTATCTCATGTAAACGCGAATTGAGTTTCATTCTGGAATGATATTGTGATTAATGACGAAGCACGCATGTGCCATGGGTATTGTCTTCTGGCAAATTGTAGCTCGTAAGTAAATAAAGAGGCTAAATGGGTTAAAATGAGTGCGAAGAAAAACAACAATTAGTTTCATGTAAACACGGATTGACATCACGTTTCGATGGTGATTGAAAGTCATTCCGGATTCATGTAAACACCCCCTAAAGGGGGCAACTCAGAGTTTAGGTTTACCCTGCAATGAAATACATTGTCCGGATATATGGTGTGTATTCGGAACGTTCTGAAAATGTCAAGGTTTTATTAGTAATATTTTCTTGTGTGGTAGCATCAAGTTACTCAAAAAAATGACATATTTCATCACTAATTCAAACCCTAACTTTAATATACTTCATCTTTTAAGCTAAACAAGCAAATAAAACTAGTGAAGACAAGTGTTTTTTGCCAAAAATATTTATTGCAGAAAACGTCTTTTGTTAGAGGCGTAGATGTTATGTTAGAATTAATTTTTATGTTTTACCAAACATGGAACTGTTACTGTATCATTTATCAGCGTATATTTTTTATTTGCATATTTTCTAGAAGCTGGTAATTTACCATTTATTAAGGTTTCTTAGTATTTAGTCATTAAAACTTGACTTTTATAATGAATAAGGATTTGAACCACATTTTTCAGGAATATTTCAGATTATTACTGGATTCGTTTTTGCCTGTCGCTTCCCACATTTCGTCAAGTGTCCGCCACTGGGTATAACCTTGTGCTGCAGCAATTATCCTGATGTAAATATACCTTTAACTCTCATAATTTCTAACATAAATCATGTTGCCTACTCTTATGCTGCATTCTTGTGCTATTGCTCAAATGTTAGAAAATTTTTAAATGTGATTTTCCATCATTTTTTCGTTAGGAAAAGTTGCAGAGATGAGTAGTCTACCTATTTCTGGAACAGGTTATGATAATTAGCTATGATTTTGAAATTTTATCAAGTCAGTGATACTGTCTGAAATTTTTAAGCGTCCATGAATACGTCAGTTTATTTACTTATGTTAGCGGTGGATGCGATAAAAACTATCTTTCCCTGGCATACTTTAAATACATTAAGATACTTCGGTTTTATTGCAATTAATTTAAATTTTATTTGCAATAAAACCGAAATATTACAGTTTTTAATTGTCGTATAAATTTAATTTTAATGTTCTTTTTCGAATTATGTTTTATTTTGTATTTAATGAAATTGTCGCCTGGTCAAGTATTGCCTCTAACCTTTTTCCTAACCATAGAGTATGCGTTATATTCTATTGCTTCGTTATTAAAACACGAAAGATTAAAATCTGATTTCGAAAAAGAAAATATTTGTTTCATTCATTTGTGGAATGTCCATAGTTGCATCTTTTGTTATCTTAATTCTCCTTTATTTTTTCACAGCGTCCTTCTTTGTCGCATGGTAATTACTTGTATTTTCAGTTTTGCTTCAGCACTTGACATACCTTCTCTCTTTTTATACAAATGACCCAAAACACTGCGAACTTTTACAACCTTTCTTGTAGCAAGTGAAACATTTTCGCTTGA